AACTCTTTGTACTTCTTCTGGCCTGAAACAAGTTCCATGTGCCTTTCTGCTTCCATGATGGATCTACTGAGCCTTCTAAGAATCTCTTGCTTAGAGCCAGCTTTTGAGACTCCTAGTTCCTTGCACAACTCTCTCAGGGCCTTGAGGCTGTTCTGCTGATTGTACTCATGACCGTTGAATGTAAAAGACAACTCTCCTGCAAGTTCATGCCTGTGTGCTGGTGCCTGGGCCTCTGAGGTCTCTTCCTGTTCTTCTTCCTGTTCTGGAATTGTGTCCAGTTGGTGAACCTTCTGTTTTGGTCTTCTGGCCTTGGGGTTCACTGGTTCAATGAGTTCGAATACACTACGTCCTGTCCAGGATAAACCTCCTAGTGGTTCTGGGTCTCTGTGAGGCTCATCCAAAGTCCAGAACTTGTCATCCTCAAAGAAATCCTTATTGACCGGTTCTTCTCCATACGTGTACCTGTCTGGTTTGAGGTTTCCAATGTCTACTGGAATGTCATTGGTATCTCGAGGATTGAACAAAGTCTTCCTCAACGAGTTGTGGTACCTCGTGAGTGTAGTGCCATCCATGCTGATTGACCATGCATCCTCAGTGTACTCTTCAAACATCTTTCGATCCTCATCTTCCTTGGGGGTGCCTATGAGGTTCAGTGGAAATTCCTTAAGAGATACTAGCGTAAGCGTGCGGTACTCTTTGCTGCCATCGAAGATTGTTCCAAACGGTTCCTCAAGTTCCTCAAACATGATGCTGTGATGCAACAGATACCACTGATCATCATCCTCAATAAGCACTGCTCGATATGCGAACTTTCCTGGTGGAAACATCAAGTAAGTATCAACGTGTTCTGAGGTTCCTAGGCTGAAGTGGACTTGGTAAGGGTCTCGCCAGTTGGTCCAACCTACACGCTGTTCTTCAATGAGTTCCTTCAAGTTCTCGCACAAGTACATAGGGATAGGTTTTGCTTCTGCTTCCCAGTTGACTGCTCTCACAAAGGCTTTTGTTGTAAGTGAGTTGTTGTTGTAGTTCACTGCGATCTTGGTTGTTCCTTCTGTTAGGAAAGTGCCTGTTGCTGTTCCATCTCTGAACTCCCAGCCTTTCTTCAACAGTTTACCTACTGCCAAAAGAGGGTGCACAACCGATGAAATCAAGAACACTTCTTCAACCTTCACAATGTTTCCTTGAACATCCCGAAACTCAACCTCAATGATCCTTTGGTCTGAAACCTTAATCCGAGATCCTTGTGCATCTCGCAAAACTACCTTGGTAGTGTTGGGTGCCTTTCTTCCATACTTCTTCATCCACATCGGTGCCAACGAAATGTCGGCTCCTGAATCCAGCACGACCTCGATTTCTCGAGTTCTTGCGTTCCTTGCTGCACGCGCAAACCTGGTGATGGTCCTTGAGGGTGCTGTTCTCTCCACTCTGTTCCTTCTAGGAGGATGGTGACATCCGTTCTCACATTCCTGCATGTTTGGGTGCCACGGTGTTTCATGACATCCATTGGGACACTCAAAGTAGTATCCACGATCCTGAGTTCCTATAGGGGTTCCTGCTAGATGCCATTGCAACCATGCATCATCACTCACCTCATCACAGTCCTGAAACTCATCATCTTCATCACCAATCCAAAACTCTTCTGTCTCACTCCTCTCTTCCTGAACTTCTTCACCAACAACCCGCAAAACTCTTCCGAAGTACTCAATCTCTATCTCTTCAGAGTTCTCACTCAGTGCGAATTCCTCCGGAAAGCTTGTGGGCTCGTCTCCCATGTGGTACATGGAGACCATCCTAATCACTGGTCTTTGGGTTCCTTGGCTTGCTTGGCTTGGCTTGTTGAGGTCTTGTTGGCTGACGAAGGGGCCTGAGTAGAAGTACCTGTAGTGCTCGCTTGCTCGCTCTGGTTTTCAAGGTCAACGTTCCTGGCCTGATAACCCATGTCACGCATTTTCTGTCTACACTGTGCTTCGAAATGTCCATACTTGTGACAGTAGTGACAAACTCCTGTAGCTGCTTGGGCTTTGCCTTTACCTTTTCCTTTGTGTCTGAAGAAACCTCTTCCTCGACCTTTGCCTTTTCCTTTGTAACCTCTGAAACCTCTACCTCGGCCTTTCCAGTTGCCTCGACCTCTGCCTTTGCCAAAACCTCCGAAACCTTTACCTTTACCTTTGCCTTTGCTGTCAAAGCCGAAACCTTTTCCGAAGTCCTTTCCACCTTTCTTGCCTTTTCCTTTACCTTTGCCTTTATGGTGAACATAACCTTTGCCATAGCCTTTCTTTCCTTTGTACCATGCTTGGTTGATATCCATTGCTGCAAGACCACCATGGTCATCACCTTTGTCGATCAAGTCTGTTGTGGTTCGGTGAGGTGTTCCTTGCTGGGCTGCTAAAGAGTTAGTCCAACGCTCGGTTGACTCATAGTTCACAAGGTACTGACGAAGAGTATTGTACTGTGTCTTCTCATCCATGTTGAGCAACAAGTGCCTTTTCACGTCAGGTTTCATACCTTGAATAAGAGTAGATACTTTCAAATTCTCCTGTACCTTTTCTCCAGTAGCCTTCTCGTACTTCTCGATGTGTTCCTCATATTCGAGGATATTCTCAGCAATTCCTTTGTTGTGAGCGAATTTGTAGTTGAGAATGTTGTGAAACAACTCCAACGATCTCGCACGATTCGTTGGTTGATATTCCTTGAGTAGCATACGGTAAGCTTCCATACCGTTCTCCTCAGCTACATGCTTTACAACTCGGTACGGCCTTCCTTTAGTGTACGAACAAAGAACACTGTACAGGCGTCTGCTGGTTTCCTTTGCTTCTGTAGACATCTCGGCCATCTTCACTTGCTTATCATCTTTTAGGTTCCTTTCTGCGATGTCCATGATCTTCACCATGTTGGAATCCACTGCTCCAAGCCAGATCCGCATCCTGTTCCTGAACTCTGTCCATCCACTCTTCTCTTCTTGCCATGTTCCTGGGGAAAATGCTTCGGGGCTTTTAATCAGCTTGTGCAACTCCACTTCTCCAGGCTTTCTTTGTTCCTTTACTGCTTTCTCCAGAGATGCTCCTATCTCCTCAAGTGTCGTTGCTGCGTTTGTGTGAGCGTCTGCCAACGCTGTTTGCGCTGTCTTCTGCTGTTCCTGAACTGCTGTCAGGGTTTCCTGGAATGCTTGTGTAAGTCCTGCTTCTCTTTGACTTCCTGAAGCTGCTGAGTTCCTGATCTCCTCTGCTAGTGTTTGTATTCCTTGTAAGGTCTGTGCATTGATCTCGGCAAGTGCCTTCAATGCATCCTCCATTCCTTTTGCTGTTTCAAGGTTGCTGTACACTAGTGCTGCTAAAAGTAGCGACTTGCACTGTTTCCTGCACACTGCTTGTGCTCTCCTTTCTCCTCTTGTCTTCCTTTGGTGCTTTGAGCGGTTGCTTGCTCTTGCGAAAAACACACTAGAATAGTACGACAGGGTGATCCAAGTAATCAGTCCCATTGGGGTTCCTAAGAACACTGCTATGCGAATTCCTTGAAATACAACTCTGTTGGAAATGACTTCCTGAACTATCACATGCACGACGTCGTGAAACTTCTTTCCTACGGTTGCTAGCTTTTCTACGAAACTGTGAACATGTTCCTGTACAACTTTCCTCAGTACTTCTCGCTGTTGTTTTACTAGGTACCTAGGGGCGTAGCCTGACTCAAGGCTCTCACTCTCCTGGTTCTCGGTGTTCTGGTTGCCGTTCCTGTTCTCTTCCGTGTAGTACTCGCCGGTCACGCTAACGACGCTGTAGAGCTCGTTCATCACTTGGTTCATGCACAACAAAGCGTACGGTACCATGACTTTTCCTATCTCCACATAGTCCTTAATCGTGTACGCGTTCGTGTTCCTGATCGTGTTCACGTTGGTGCCGTCGGGGTTCACGCTGCACTCGTTGTAGCCTTGCTGGTAGTACTCGCCGTACACGTCGTAGTTCCTGTAGCGGTTCCGGTGCGTATTGGGCTTCCTTCTGCTCGACCACACTGCCATGAGCTCGCTCTCGTCGCTCTCCACGTAAGTGAGTTCCTTTCTCCCACGGCTCACATCCTTGGAGGGTAAGGCGTCTCCAAGGGCAAGTTCTTCCTTGGTCTCCACGTTGTTGCCAAGGGCCTGCCACGGTCTCACCGCCATACTTCCTGCTCCTGGGACCAAGATCATCCCGCACAAAGTTGCGAGGCTTCCCAGTGCGAAACCAACCAGCAGCACCATACATGCTGCCAAACCGTAGCACTTCATGTTCCTTTTCTCTCTCTCTTCCACCAACACTCGGTCGGGGTAGCAATCGCTGCAAGCGTCAAAGTCTCGCGCGTTTCCTGCTGTCACGTTGTGGTTGCGAAGGTGTCCACAACCTCTGCGGTGGTACTTTGTTCCTGAACGGACTGCGATCCTGAGCGTGGGCATGTTGAGCACTGTCTCTGTCTTCTTGGTGATCTGCTCATTTGCGCGCATCTGCTTCCATCCGGCAACGAGGCAAACTGCCATGGCGCCGAGCATCATGGTTCCTATGGCTACGAGTAGCATCATCGCTGCCAAGGAGGTTCCTGGAGGCAGCTCCGCTACCATGTTAAAGAACGGGCTTCACTAAGGGTTCCTACCCACAAAGACTGTCGGACACTTTTGTTCCTGGGCACGGTGTGTCCTGGGGTCTCGAGCCTGCACGTCGCGTGTGCGTGACGGCTGTTCCTGTACATTAACTGTACTGCACTAGCTGTGTTACTGTTCCTGGCAGAATGTTTAACAGAAAGCCCTAGCTACCCCCTTGCCGGGAATAAAGATGACCCCTCCAACACCTGTGGTGAAGCCGCCCTCACACGGGTCGCATGCGCCATCTGTGAAGATAAGGACTGGATTCGAAGGCGGGCTCGTAGCAATGGCTCGCGGCCTGCTCGCAAGGAGTCTCGCTCTCAAGACAGCCAAGGCATTCGATTGCGAATCGGTCAAGTGTAAGACACCACCTTTGTCACCAAAGAGCCTGAGGTCAGCCAGGGCCAAACGCCCCGTGCGGCCGAGCAGCTGAGCATCTGCAAAGCGAAGTTTGCCAAGAAGGGAGGGCAACTCCCTCGTGTCCTTGTTCAAGGATGCGGCCTATGGACTCCTCGAGCATGGCAGCCCGTTCAGGCTTGTTCGATACGAAGATGCGCCCCATGTCGGGATCCGACGTATCAAGCATAACACCCAAAGTTTCTGCAGTGCAAGAGAACGGCTTCTCTTTCTCGGACAAGGAGAAGCCGAACAAGTCCATGAGGGCATGAACTGCATTGTCCGTCCCGCCCGACAAGAACGAGGGTGTCATGGTCGGGAAATCGTCGCAGTAGCAAGTCACAGCTACCCTCAAATCCCAAAGAACCCTTTGCAGAAACAATGCCACCCGGTTAAACTGCATGACTGAAGCCGAAGCCCCGAAAGGAAGAGTGTTGCACACAAAGGCTTTGACGGCGCGGGAGCCGGGCTCCCTGAGCAGGATAATGGATTTCGGCCTCTCGCCTGGGTGCAATGCAAGTTGCTTGTACACCGCCTGGAGGTCATAAGTCTTGCAGTGAGGACGGACGCGGTCAGGGTCCTTCCACGCAGTATATGGAGAGGCCCCTTGAGTCTCTCACCCGAGCTGAGCTCCAGATCGAGGGAGCCCGATGATTTTGCCGCACGGCAAACCTGCATGCACAGCCAACATACCTCATCAAGGGCTTTAAGAGTGACACGTTCAAAGCATCCGAAGCAAGAGTTCACCGCAGCTTCCGAGAAGTCATCGATGGCACGCCATTTGCCCTGCCAGACTGCGAAACGCCGGCAGGCGTTCCAGCCTTCGGGGAAGGTGTCCCCCAAAGAGTCAACATCGATCGGGCCGTCAAGCCAGCACTTCCCGGATCTGTTTGACTCCTCAAGCGTCATGTTCCAGAGCTCCTCGGCATAATCATGGTCCTTCTGAGCCCTGACCTTTTCAAGAAGAGTTTCCCTTCGAAGGGGAGCACTTGCCCAGAATTCGTCAAGGTCCATACTGGCAGGCTTAACATCGCTAGCGAAGACCCCCGTACGTCCTAAGTACCCCGTTAGCTTAAAGCCGGCAGCAAGGTCATCGAGTCGTGTCAGGCCACGACAAGTCGGCGGCAACCCTCTTCATGAGCGCAATACGTTTACACCCGAGGACCTTCCGCACTCAAGGGTCATAGCCGACCTGATTTTCTCCTCCTCGGGCTCAAGCTGCTTGGCGAGGGCACGCCAATGCTGTAGCTTCAGAAGGCGATGCCTCATCGTGTCGGCCGGGCTCTTCGTAAGGGTGTCGAACAAGACTCGCAAAAGTTCATCTGGAAGTGATCTGGCGGAATCAAAGGGATGCACAACTAACTTTGCCTCGTTCAAGAAAGCTTGCATTGATCGATACACGCCGAAAATGTAGAACTTCTTGCCCTCTGGGAGTCGCGAACCTCCCCGCTCAACTGACTCCCGGAGGAGCTTGGCACCTGCAGGGACGCCACGCCAGGCAGTCGAAAGGCAATGCTTGGAATTGAGAGTGGGAGCCTCAGCACTGCCAACCGATACGGTGTAAGCAAATTCAGAAATGATCGGCGGGAACTTTCGGCCACGAGGTTGCACCTGACCTGCGGCGCGTGCAGCAGAGACCTTGGAAACACTTAGGCGTTCTGGCGCAATGCCTCGTGATGCGGCTGACTTATCCACGCATGAAACGATCCTTTCGCAAAGAAGCTTGGGATAGCCTGTCTCTTCAGCAGTGGCAAAAGAGCGGCCCTGCTTGCCCCATGGCAGATGCGAGGAGCAACCTGGACAGGGTCCTGAAAGGCAGCGCAAAAGCTCGGAGTTTGTGAGAAGGGCCGTGGCCTTCTTGCGTTGTGACCCGTGGCGGCACGAGTCAAATGTGACGAAGGAGTGCTTTGAAACCAGCGCGGCCCACTTCGGAAGCTGCCAGAGGTAGCTATGCAACGGGTTCTCAACCGAGAAAGGGACATGCGGCATGGCACGAAGCAGCCAGTCACAGAAGGCCTCCATGTTGTCATATATAGTGTTGGCACTGTCCACCCGTGCCTGCTCCACTGGTGGAAGGCCAGGGAGCCCACGCACATGACGAAGTGAACGCAGTGGCTTGGGGCCGGGCCCGCATTCCCGAGCCCTGCTGGCAGTATTTTGACTTTTGACTTTGAAGCGCAGACAGGTTGGATCCATCTTACGTGACACGAACAGAACTTCGTTCCGGCTGCAGTGCAGCTAAAATTCGCGAAAGTTGCAAAAGATTGCAAGCAAGCTGCAATGGTAGAGAAGCTGTACAAAGCAAAGAGGCTGTCACCAGCCCAAAGCAAAGTCGAGACACTGAACACGGGATCCGGGATGCACAAGCGGTCACCCTCGCTGTGACACTTACGGAAAGGTGGGAACTACAATGTGGTCGCCTTCACATGTGAAACCGCGGCAACAACACTACCTCCTACCTACACTTAAGCAACCCTCACAGCTCAGAGTCATAAAGAAAAGAGTCGAAGGAATCATGAGACATATCGGAACCCACATCCCGCTCAGTTGGAGCAACATCTGAAGCCACATCCGAAGCAGTGGAGAGCAGTCTGGTCTCATCAGATGCCAGAGCATCGCACCAGGCCCATGAGTATTCACTTTCGCGAACAAGCAAGTGGAGCGGCCGAGGGTCCTCCCGCATGCGATGTAGAATAAGTGTATATGCCATCTCGAAGAAATCTTCCTTATGATCTCCATCCAGCATCAAACGAAAGAATGCAAGCTGGTGCCACATATCAGCACCCTCAAGTTCCTCAAGTATCTGCCGAGTGATGGCATGACGATGCTCCAAGCCCACTGGAAACTGCTCAAAATAGATACGGATACCAGCATCACGAATCATATATATCTGTATACCACGAATGACCAAGTACATCGCCAAAGTCTCATCTGAAAGAATCAAGGAAGCCGGCATGCCCAGAAGTACACGCTGCCATGTCTCACCACACTGCGCTTGCCCAGGAAAGTGCAAATGCCCAGCAGCACCACATGTCATCACGGCATCCGCCGCATGTGACACTGAAGACAATGCATGGCCAGTCACATCAAGCGCTCGCGACATGTAGAACACAAACACTAATGAAACCCACTGACCCTGGAGCAAGCACAGACAGAGAGGCGGCATCAGGCATGGAGCGCATCACCCGACAGGACAGGCTGCGTCGCACGTTGCATGAAGAGCAAGTAGCTTCGGGACGCCAAATTCTCAAGCTCGGATGTTCCACAACGCACAGCCTGACGGTCGTCATCCGTGATGTAATGCACAGCACTTGCACCGGCATTCCCCGACCCCTGCCCCATCAGCAAAACACGGTAGTGCCCCGAGGACACCTGAGCACCATAGTGCAACACCACAGCTGTGGTGTGATAAATCTGATGATGCACGGCATGCCGAGAGGTGCACACTGGCAAGCATAGGCGACCCGGAATGGGCAGCGCAGCATTGTCACGAACCTGAAAGACCCCACGACCCTTAAAACGGTCAAGCTGAAGTACAACCCACTCGGCATCTGAGCGAAACGCATGAAGGTGCCTTTGCTGGCGCCAGTCGTCCACACTGGCCTGGATGTCCGGATGCAATTGCTGATCTGGTCTACGCATGGGAATGAGGACAACGCCAGAGCCCCGATCACGCGTGAGTGATCCATCATCCCCATCCGGAAAAGCCTCCCATGGACTCAGAGCGAGGACGGAATCGACCGAACTCAGAACATGCTGCAAGAACTCGGCTGCGTCATGCTGCCGATAGGGCTCCGACCACTGATCTGCCAAGCTGGACCACGCAGCCAAGTTGCGCAAGGTGAGGGCCTTCGACACTTTAGCATTTTGCACAGCCCTGAGCACCTGCCCCAGGTGGGTGCATGCGAACCTGTGCCCAGCATAGCAGATGGGCTGAAGCAGCCTAGACAGTGCCATGATAACCGCATTCGCATAACACTGATTTCCTGGGTTTCTCCAGCTGCGCTGGACGCTTGAGCCTTGCGCGACGAAGTCGCCCTGCTAGCAGTTCGAAGACCGCCAGCTCGCACCACTCCAACATCATAATGTGAAGCTCCTGCTCCCTCAGACTGAGGTCCAACAGAAATGGAATGCTGGCGTTCTCCGTCGTCTCCGAGAGTGGGGCAATGGCCTGAAAGCGGGTGATCACATCCGGTCGGCGCACAATCGCCGTGGCTTTGTCGATCTGCTCCAGGAATGTGTCCGCCTTCAGGGGCATTCGCTTTTGGTCGACTTCCAACTGCTGGCTCGTGGCGTTCCAGATCCGGTAGTTCCAGTCGCCTTTGTCGTTGATGATGCCCAGTTGCTGTGCCTCTGCTTTCGCCTCCTGTTTCCGAACCAACTGAGCCCGTGCCGCAAGCTCGAGGAAGAGGCATTCGATCATGTGTCGGCGGAGAGGCCGGTCGAGCTTTTCCGGGGTTTCCTTCATCATCTTCTTCCAAGCCGAAGTGACCCGAAACATCGTGTTGGTGATCGAGCCTGGTTGCGGAGGGGTTTGAAGAATCAGGAAGAATCCGGTGTCTAAGGACAGGCGCTGTACCTGATCTCCTTGCCGAAGTAGAACCTGCGCCATGAGGCGCACCAATTCTTCCAAGGAAGTACCGTCCGAGATCTTGGGTCCCTGCCCTCCTCCCCGGCCCCACTGTCGGTGACCGCGACCGCGGCCTTTGCCGCCCTGAGGATTCCCCTTCCTGGGTCCGAAAACTCCCGGCTTGGCAATCTCCCTGGACCGTTTGCCATTGGGGAGGTCCGCATCCATGTCCGCTATCTCCGCTAGCTTCGAGGCTGCCGGTAGCAGATGTCCGAATACGACGGACGCCTGAGCTACTTCCGCCTGAGCGATGCGTGAGCTCGCACTGTATCAGACACGCTTGTTGCATCACAACACACTTGCCTGCATGTTGGCGCGTGTCCGCAATAGTCGCTCCACAAACTGAACACGGGCTAACGCACGATCGAGCCCACTGCTTGCCTGCATGTACAAGCATGGCCTCATGCCTTTGCATGATTTCAGGATGTTGCTGACGAATGTGCCGTTTGATCTGGTTTGAGGTGGCTAGCCACTGACCGCAAATCGAGCAATGATGCTTCAATTTTTGCACAACACCAGGCACAGCTACAAGATCGGTCCATCGCCTAGGAGCAGGCAAAGCCAACACATTGGCCCACTGTATCACAGGCTGATCCGGAGACTCAATCTGCGGGCAGGGCAAGGCTACTGCCGAGGAGTTACCTCCAGGTTACGAGTCCCCGGGCTCCTTACTACGCGGACCAGTGCGATGCGGGCAGTCGAGGCCTTGCTCGCTTCTCAGGACCCGCCCCTCTCTGAGATGCCGGACCTCCTCACAGTGTTCGTCAGGAACTACCTGCTCCACCACAATTCGGAAGCCACCCCACAAGAGCGGCTGCAGGCCTGTTTCCAGGTCGCTACTACTCTGGGACTCTGGGGGGCCCGGAGCTTGCCTCCCAGGCGACTGAGTACCTCGAGTCCACCCAGCGCCTGCTCTGAAGCAGAACGGCAGCCCGCGCCCACCGAAGTCCCCCTCGCCGTCGCCTCAGCGCGGCGCCGACAACAAGCAAAGGCGCGAGGAGGAACGCCGCTTGAAGCGCACCGTCACGACCATCTGGGATCAAATCCCGGAGGATGCATGCGCGCGCCTCACACAAGCGGGATGGAAAGGACCTCCCAAGCAAAGCAGAAGGATGCGGTCGAATCCCAGACCGACCCTCTCCTGAGCCTGCTCGTGCAGCGCCAGGATGAGTTGCCGGAGGATATCCGCACGGCGCTTGTGAAGGCGACCACGGGTCCGGAACCGTCTCCGGGAGAAAAGGCCATGCAATCCAACAAGGATCTCACCAAGGCCAGCTCCCGCCTCCGAGTGCTGATCCACAAGAAGATCAAGCTGCTCGAGAGCATAGAGGAGGCGAAGGAATCCCTCCGCCTGCAGCTGCAGGAGCTCCAGGAGACGACCGAGAAGATCCACGAGGCCGAGAACGCGGTGGAAAAGGCCAAGCTTGAGCTCACAAAGGCTGTGGGCAATTTAACCGGGGTACAGGACGTGCCAGACACTCCTGAGCCGATGGATGTGGACAAACTGGTCACCATCCTTGGCCTGACCCTCTCTGACGAGCAGCAGGAGAAGCTGGCCGAGTACCGCGCCAAAGCCAAGAAAAGGCAAAGGCCTCCCGAGGTTGGTGCACCGCCGGGGTTGCCGGCTTTCCACCTTGGCTTGCAAGGCACACAGCTGGAACGCGCCTCCCTCCGATTTTCAGGGCATCTCGTGGGCCGAGACTGTGGGAGGGGCCCTTCTTGCACCTAAGGGGCCGACCATAAACACGGGCAACACCCTCGACTACGCCCTTTTGTCGAGGCCGCTGGTGTCTTTGTGTCGTTGCCTCAGCTAGCCGGCTACCAAGGGGCCCTGAGGGATGAGGTGGCTCCCGCCGACCCGGCTTTTGTTGCCCCGGTCTGGGGAAGATCGGGGCCCAACCTCTCCGGTCGGATCCCCTGACCTGCCGTTTCGCGGGCATCACCGCCGGCATGGCGGCACGACATTTCACCAACGAAGGAGGCACCAACAACCCCCTCCAGCACAAGCCCCTCATGCAGCAAGACTGGTCCTACCCGTGGAAGGGCCACACAGCTGCTTTCTGGAGTCGACTGGCCTCCTTTTCGGAGCACCCGAAGCCACCGGAGGCGGTGGCAGCAACCACCCTCCACCTCACAGAGGAGGGCCGACCGTCAACCCTTGCAGTGGTCCGACAGCTCCGTGCCGAGGAGCATCAGCGTTCCACCCCCCTACTTCCCGGACCGGAGCTTCGCCAACGAGCCGTTGAGCAAGCCAGGCAGCTGCCCGCTGTCACGGGACGACAAATGTATCGGTACATCCGCTCGATGCCGTGCAAGGCCCCCGGGCTCGACGGGTGGGATGTGCCTTTCCTGAAATCCCTCTCCATCGAGGAGGTGCACACCCTCGCAGACCTCTGGAGGGAGGTGGAGCTGGAGGGCGTTTTGCCACACCAAGCCTCCTTTACCCAGTACGTCATGCTCCCTAAGAACGAGAGGGTGGAAAGGCCAATCGGCCTGATGTCCACCTTCTTGAAATTAGGCATCAAGTGCCGATGGGAGCTCGCCAGCTCTTGGATCGAGGCCAACCGGGCTTCTTTGTGGTGGGATTCGGCCCTGCCTTCCCGCAGCACCCACGATGCCTCCCTGCGACGCGCGTTTCTGTACGAAGCGTGCCGAGTCGACAAGGTGCACCGCTGCACCATTTTCTTCGATTTGAGCACATTTTATGAACGCGTGAGCCACGAAAAGTTGTGTGAAGAAGCAGCCCAATGGGGCTTTCCGCCGCTTCTCCTCAACTTAGGGATGCAAGCCTATCGTGGCGGTCGCATCGTGACTGCCGACTCCGTCGCATCGCCATGCGTTTTCGCAGCGCGAGGAATAGTAGCGGGTTGTCCGCTAGCTCCTCTCCTATCAAAACTATCGATAGGCAAGCCCATCAGGGCTGCTTGTGCAGGCACCCTGGCGGACTTCGTGGATGTTGGGTGGACGACGTCTCGGCCGATGTTGTTCATAAGACCCCGGAGCGCGCTGCCACCGGAATCATTACCCTCTTCCGCCGTCTCCACCTGAGGGCAATGAGGTGTCTGCCTCAAAGACACATTTCCTGGCCAGCTGACCGGAAGTTGAACGCGCACTCCGCCGCAAATTGGGGAAGGACGACCCCCCGGTGCGCCAAACCACAAAGGACCTCGGCATGGAAACGGCAGCCGGGCGACGCCGCACTACCTTCCAGTCGGCGGCGCGGCGCTTGAAGGCCAACCGGCGCTTCGCGAAGCTCCAGTCTCTCCGCTTGCCGGCCCTCAGGGTGCGCTCCAAGCTCTTCTCCATGAGCGTCATGGCGTTGGGCAACTGGGGACACCAGTCCCAGGGGGTGTCGCCCAAGGTCATGAAGAGCCTCCGCTTTCAGGCCGCGCAGGTGTCTAGGAGGGTGCTGACCGGCAGTGTGGAGGTTGCGCTCGAGCTTGGGGGCCCGCCGACAAAAAACCCGCGCACCTCCATCATCGCCCAGCATTGGGCGGTCCTTGGCAAGGTCCTGTGCGAGCAGCTGGAGCGCACGTGGCACTCCCTCTGGGCGCAGCTCCAGCGGAAGGACCGGTGGAAGGTCATCTGTGGGCCGAATGATCGGCTACCTGGTGGAACTGAGGGTCGAGGCCTCCTCCCCTCACCGTTGGCTCCGGCGGACCTGTGTCCCGCCACGATTGCGAGGCGCTTGACAGGGGGATTGACCTCACTATTCCGCGCCAGCTGGCCAAAGGCAGGACAAGCAACGCCCGCGCCGGCGCCTTGCGTTCCCGGCTGATTCGGCCTGGGGAGCAGTGCCCTCTGTGCAGGGTCGAGCTTATTATACTCCCCTGCACATGGCTCAGGAGTGCTTGTGGTGGAAGGGCCGCTCTCCACCCGCGCCGGCCAAATTGGGCATCTTCCAGCGCGCCCCCGACGGGCTTAAACAGGTCGGAACCGCGTGCGGCACCCTGCCGCCGGGCACCACGGTGCCCCAGGCCGAAGCATACGCGATCGCGCGCGTCTGTGCCCGCAACCCCGGGGGTCGCAGACATCACCACCGACTGTTTTGGGATGCTACGGCAGCAGAAGTCGTCGGTGGTCACCTGGCCGTGGCTGCAAGGAAGCGATCGCCGCGCGCACGCCTCGCTGACGTGGGTCAGGTCACACGTGACCGAGGACGAATTCCGTGCTGAATTCGGAGAGTCCTCTCTCTGAGGAAGCAGGTGAACGACGCGGCCGATCACCTCTGCCGACAAGCGGCGGCCCGAGCCACGGCCCAAGCGGAACGGTGGTGCCCGGACGAGATCGACGACCTCGTTCGCGAGGTGACGCTCTTCCTGCAGCACCGGGCATCCGTGTTGCTGATCTCCCAAGAGCAACCACCTTGGGACCTTGCCTCGGAGGGGAAGACAAAACGCAGGAAGGAAGAAACATACCCCCAAGTTGGCGCACGAGCATGCGGCCACCGAGCTACGGCCCCCTCACCCGGCACAGGCCGGCAGCAGATGGAGGGGAGAACAAACGCCAAAGGATCGCAGAAAGGGCGCCAGAGGGCAAATGTGGGAGGCCTACCCCACAACCATCGCCCGCGGCATGCTCGGTGTGCGGGCTGTACATAAAGTAGCTGATGCCCCTGTGGCGGTTCAACCGCATAGCCGCCCACCAGTGTCAGTAGGCACAGGGAGCGGGTCACATGACATGCACAACCTCGGCGACAAGTGAACGCAGTTGACATTCCGCCGGACCGTTGGGTGCCCGGGGTTGATGCCGTTCCTAGCCGCGTCCCACCTGAGAAGGAGAATGAGCCAACCCGCCAAAAGAAGGGGTTTTTTGGCGTGACTGGGCCTCGTCGACTACGGCTGTAGCACTCGGTCCCTACAAACTAACAAACGAAAAGCGAAGCAAAAACTACAAACTAACTTCCAAAGCAGTGAAACAAAGGTGCGAAGCTCTACAAGGGCTGCGGCGCACAGGCTTTGCCGGTGTTAGCCGTTCAGCACAACTACGGAGCCTCAGCGACCGATCCGAAGCAACAAAGAGCCGTCGCTCTGAGCTGCCCAAAGCGACAGGTGGAGCCAATTCCAAGCTCCGGCAGCCGTTCTAGTCTCGCCAGACAACGGACAGCCCCTGCGCTTTGTTAAGTCACGGTCGTGCACACCAAAGTCCAAAAGTCCAGTGTTCGCCATGGTGGACGGTTTCCAGATCAATGGGTGCCAGAGTCGTTGCGACTCAAGGCCGGGCAAAATCGGCCTGCCTCTGGGATCGAACACAACGATCCACGGCGTGCAAAACTTTACGGATTGGCTGCCGGCGTTCAGCCAGTGAGTCCGCACCCACTCGCCGCATTGGCCAACAACTGCTATAGAGCGCCCGTCAGCGTGCCCCACTACAGGCAATTGCGCCAAAGGCAGAGGGAACGATAACAATGCCAAACTTCCTTGACATGTGCGACTTCTGGGGAAAGTTCTGTAGTGGTGCCATCCTTTCCAATCCTACAGGTGATGTGCCCAGCTTGTTGGCCAACCAGGCCGACTCCCAGGCAATGGATGCTAGAAAGGAAAGAACCACAACGACGTATGTCGTCGGTTTCGCCGGCACAAGTCTAGCGGTGTCTGAGTCGTTCCAACGCAAGTGGCCAGAAAGGCCGGAGCCCAAGGACAGTACCGATAATGTGTGCGGTCGAGTCCAGCAATCAACAGGGCACCGTGCAAGCACCGTCCCTTGGCCCGGATTCTGCGTAGGCCGATGCAATATCCGCCGAAACGGCATCGAAGTCGATCCAACTCAACGTCAGCCAGAAGCGGCCAACACCCAGAGGAGTCGGCTGGGCCCCAATTACACGAAAGGCCAAGAAGTGAGATGAGGGCACCCACTCGTCCGTATGCACTTTAATGGACACACCGGAGCCCAGACAAATGGATCACCCTGCCGCACATTGGAGAACCGCTGGGTGCGAAGGTCCAAGTGGTGTTGAGTGCGGGCCAGTGCTCTTACCCGTGGCTGATGAAGCATGTCAACGCCCGATTACTGACGTTGGCCGGAGTCTCGCTCCAACACTTGCCAAAATGCAGGAGAAGACTATCGTCAGAAAGGGACATCGACGTATGTCGACGTGCTGGCAGCCTAAGGCGACTCGACGGAATGAGAGCACAGCGTGGGCACCGCCCCATTGCCCCAAGTCCAAAGGCCGTTGAAGGTATCAGCTCTATCAATGTACGAGTAGTTCGACTCAGCGTCAGCCATATGGCCGGTCCAATTGAGGGGGGCCCCGGTGTGCCAAGAGGTGATGTGCTGCCGGTGGTCAAACCGACCAACCAACGCGCGTGTTTGCCCTGGAAGTAGGTGGCCGAGGAGACCCCTGGTGTGTGTCGCCGGCAGCGCAAATACCGAGCAAACGGAATGGGACACCCGAGACGAAACCAAGGCCACGGCCAGATCCCACTCGTGTGGGAGACGGCATCCGCACACCCGGGATCCACCGAGAGAAAGGCGCCCATGCCCGACGAGCTTCCTTCCAGATCACCGAGTTCGCAGCCCGAAGGACGCGAGATTAGTGCGAAAGAGACAAAGCACGGGCCTTGTCACCAGTTGAGACATACAGAAGCTAGTCGTAGCCCGAACCTTGTCGTTGGCTGGCGTCCCCCTCCGGGCACTTGCCAGGAGGCAAGGAGAGAACCGATCAGGTGTCAAGTAAGAACGGACATCGACGTGTGTCGACGTGCAGGTGGCTCCACACGACGTGACTGGTCGGTACGCCGCGATCACCTGCCCGTCGCGTTAGTCCCTTGTTGCTCTGGCAATGGAAACACCGAACGCCGGAATAACGACACAACGACGTATGTCGTCTGTCCCGATCGGGGTGAGCGGAGATCACCGGGTAGAGCCGGACGCCTCATCGGACGGCCAGCTGTCGAGCAGGCGTTGCATGTCACGTCCACTCGAGGGGAAGTGACTTTCTTTCAGAAGATAAAGCATCTGGTAGTTCCTGTCATTGTACATTTCCTTCAAACGTGAGAAGGCATACTGGTGGTTGTCGTGGTCCTCACTATGAAGGTGTGGCATGAGTTCCGTGGAAATGCAGGGAAGTTGGAGGCCGGGTCCGAGGCCCCCTTCTCTGAGGAACTCATCTGCCGCCGCCTTCCAACGCTCTTACGCCCGAGGGTGCCCTAGCCGGAACCAAGGGCGCGTGCCATCCGGCGGATTCTGTGTGCGGCCCTCCTCCTGGGCGACCAACCTTTGAAGGAGGACCATCGCTTTGGCCTCAAATGCGTCGAAGTGCGCATAGCGCCACAGGCGGGTCGGGAAGTAGAATTTCTTTTTCTGCGGCCCACGAATCCAGTAGGCGACTACGGCATGGAGGCGCCACAGGGCGCTGTGGAGCAAACCGGCAGCCTGGATCGCCAGCGACGGCTGAGCACGTAACCCCAGCGGAACGTCCGCCAGCGGAAAAAAGCAGTCGAAAGATGCCACGATAGGAGCTAGGATACGTGAACATGCGCGGTTCGAACTCTCTGCGTCCGGCTGGGAGGAGTCCGTTCTCGAAGCCCGCCATCACTCGACCCGCAATGGCAATCTGAGGACGGCCAACCAAGTTAACAGGGACTTTGCATGTGATTCGAACCTCAATATGTTGGCCATCTCGCGCAGAGGTAACGTTGGCGAGTTGCAGGAGTGGGGCGGACGAAGAGTCGTCGGCCAATGCACGGGTGAGGAAGAATAGCAGTTGCACCGGCAACTGCACGCCGCAATGCAGTAGTAGAGTGCCCTTGTTGGTCCTCAGCATTCGTGCTGCCTCCCTCGGTGGACGCCGGTGGCTGGAACCCTCACCCCGTCGGCTATTTGTTGGCAAAGGATCTGGTTTGCATTTAGGTCGCGCTTGGGAGCCAGAGACATCTGGATAAGGCTGCCATCGCGCACAGGGGATTTCCGTCCTGCAAGAGCCCGTGGGAGAGAGCTCTTGAGCCCCGATAGTTCGTCAAGTAGCAGCCACCACCAAATCTCCGGTCGGGCCAGTTCGTACCAGGAGAGGTCGAAAACCTGTTCTTCCGGCAACCGCAGGACTGGATCACAAAACTGGACCAATGCCACGGACACAGTACACAGCGGTGTTCAGCAGACGCGAAAAGGCTTCGCTCTCAGTACAGCGTTGCAACATGAGGGCTCGATCCGCGAAATCCACAACTTTCACCCCAAAGTTCTGTGGGCTGAGCTTGAGTTCACAAGCGGGAAGCGACAAGGGGAGAGAAAGCAGGGTAAGGCAGTCCGGAGAGCTGGAGAGTCATTGCTGCAGTGCCCCAGCACAGTCAATGCCTTTTGCCGGCTGTTGAAGTCGGCCCCTAGCTTGGTAACGGCGAAGTGTGTCATGCTGCTCCCCGAATTCATCCTCATTGTCTGCCGGCACACACCTGCTGGCAATTGAGGTAACCCCTGGCACAAGACGACCAGGCAGGGATTCGACCGCGTCCAGTGGGTCCGCCACGCGTTGAGTCCACGTAGCGGTAGGTGCGACCGGGAGAGAGACCGCACAGCTTTGACTGCGCAGCTCGGCGGTCAGCGTCGGATCCTCCTTGGCAGGCTCTCCGGTGTCCGGATCCGGGCGCACAGCACCTGTCGGATCATAGAGGGCTCGAAGCAGTCCAGTAGTAGCCACCGGCGGGAGCAAGATAGCCTGAGGGGAAGAACCCGCCAAAAGAAGGGCAGATAGCTGCGAGTATGCTTGGCTTCTCACTCCCGGCGGCGACCCCCACGTTGGCTTCCAACCCGAAACCTCCGCTGTGGACAGGAAAAGGGTTCTCCGCTGTGGACAGGAAAAGAGTTAAGCCAAAGTCTCAAGCGAAGTCCGATCCAAGCTCGAGCCCGAAACCGGGACACACCCAAGGCACGTCCCCGCTCGAAGCCCAAGCGAGCCTCCAGGGAATTTTGCCTCCAGGACTTCCCCTCAGCTCTACCAGGCCCCCAAGCCGGAAGAGTCTCAGGTGGTGGTAGCGTCGGGTTTTTCCGAGCGCGGGATGGGAGCGCGGGATGGGGCCGGAGGCTGGCAAAGGCAAGGGCCAAGAATGGAGAAGCCTTATTAAACCGACAGCGCAAACGTCCACATGCGTCATCCTTCATCATCCCATGGGCCATTTTTGAGACTTTCCAACACCTGCTCCAAACGCGGCCCCTTCATACGCAAGGCCAGCCGGTAACAATCAGCGCTATAGAGGCTCAGCAGGTTGTCATGCAGTTCTAATTATACAAAACTGGGGCAGCTCAAAAATCTAGAATATTTCAAACATGATGTGGAGCTTTCCAGGATGCATATGAAACGGAAAAGCTTCGATTCCAAATCATATATAATATAAAAAGGTCCGCAAGTCATAACATATGTTGCAACGGACTCGTGAAGTTCAATCGCACTCGCACGGACACTTTTTTTTTGGCTGCATAGCCGATCGGGGGAATTCGTGAAACGATCCCGGTTTGCCCCGACCTCGGCACAAGGCCTACGAGATCTACGGGGCACAACATCCCCCCCAGGGAGGGTGGGTGGGTTCAAAAATTTCATGAATGTTGGGCCCCGCCCTTCTGTTGCTTGAGAGGGCGAGCGCGGCCATGCTGATTGAGATCAAATCGCAAAGTAAATCTCGCATGCCGAAAATGCCAGGAAAAACATTCATGAAAAATTCACCGTGAAAATCACATGTAAAAATTCTGCTTTGAGTGAGACTACCACATACCGCAAGACTGTACACGATACTGGAGCCGCCCCGGCTCGCTCTGCGAGCCTACAGTTCTGTCTACTTAGAAAGCGCTACCGACAAGTCGGAGCGGTTCTTCTAATTATACAAAACTGGGGCAGCTCAAAAATCTAGAATATTTCAAACATGATGTGGAGCTTTCCAGGATGCATATGAAACGGAAAAGCTTCGATTCCAAATCATATATAATATAAAACGGTCCGCAAGTCATAACATATGTTGCAACGGACTCGTGAAGTTCAATCGCACTCGCACGGACACTTTTTTTTTGGCTGCATAGCCGATCGGGGGAATTCGTGAAACGATCCCGGTTTGCCCCGACCTCGGCACAAGGCCTACGAGATCTACGGGGCACAACATCCCCCCGTCGAATGGCTAGGTGCCCCGAGTGCAGGAGCTAGTGAGCAACGCATCAAGATGACAAGAGCCTCCGGGTGAGGCTTTGGTCAAGCGGGTAGTCGTTTCCCACCTTGTCGGTGCAGACGGCCAGGGCCTCTGATGAATCACCCCTGCTCGGGCCATCTGCGATGTTAGAGAAGGATGGGACCCTCTCGTACCAACTGTACGAAGGTGCCTTGGAGTCTGCAATCGCAAAAGACTGAATCAAGGATGACATCGAAGGACTATCCGAAATGCCTTTGATCAGACCATAGCGTGCCGATTCGTTATCGATCCACCAAATCAAGCGCCTGTGGTCAAAGGTGGAAGCCAGGGCCCACCTCAGGCATACCACTGCGTACAACTCGATCTGGCAAATGAGCTGAGTCCCGACCTCGGCCTCCCATCGGAGGATGAGCGGCTCTGGGACGAGACCCTCATAAGTCCACGACTTGCCGGAAGCTGTGTCAAAGATGACGGCACCGATTCCGGCTCGGCGCCGCTCCCACGCACCGTCTGTGAAGATGTGTATTGGGGCTCGGCTGTCCCACACACTGAGCACGCGTGGGCTAAGTGCACGGAGGGCCTCAATGCTGTTGATGCAGAAGCTGCGGATCGCCTTCGAAGAGGCGGGGCTCGAAGCCTTTGTCAAGCGAAGGAGCTCCTGGCATGTTAAGCGTAAGGCCCGACCATTCACATAGCCTGCAGAGAAATTCAAGAGTCCGTGGGCGACTTGTGCCTCGTGCACCGTGATGGCACCCCTGTCAAGAAATCCCTGAAACAAGGCCACGAGCTGCTCGATACGTCCGGCTTTGTTCTGAAGGGTCAGGCGTCCACGGTGAACACCATCAAGTTGCATCGACATCCCAAGGACCTCGAAGCTTGCCGCAAATGGAACGCCTTTAGCGTCCTTGCCCACGCGGGCGTGACCCCAGCCCAGAAGATCAAGCAGTGCGGTTGTGGCCCACGTTGCGCTGTCACTTGTGTTGTTCGGTGACAGAAGAGGAAAGTCGTCGTAGAACACGGAGCTTGGCACAAGCAACATTTGGTTCAACAGGAAGGAGATTGCTTTGGACACCCTGTTGAATGCAAATACTGACGATGTGCACCCGAATAACAGCGAGTGGCTCACGTAGTACCTGGGCTTACCCTGTCCATCAAGAAAGAAGACCACCGAGACCGGCAGGTCACGCTCCGAAACACACATCTGTTTGTAGGCTTTAGTCAAGTCAAGACACCTGGCTACCCATGGCACCGCACCGGGTTTGGAAGGGTCAGCCAGGATGCGTCGGGCAACCTCGAGAGCCATAGCAGACAGGTAGTCGGCGTCCTCGAGCTCGAGTCGCATCGTTGAGGTGCTGGCGCTGTTCACGAGCGCTTCCTTTGCATCATCAATGGGCCGAAGTTTCCCTGGCTTCTGCTCCAAGACGAACCGCCGGATGCACGACCAGCGAGTGTGGCCGAACAGCCGGGACACTTGATCCTCCGTGTAGGGTCCCAGCATGAACCCAAGGTCTACCTCTTCCTTGCATGTCTGCTCAAGGTGGGCGAGCTGCCCTGCATCCGGAGCCCTGGCGCCGGGCGTTGTGAGAGCCCGCCGCCTCCATTCAGCGGAGTCAAGGAACTCGTCCCTCGACATGGTAGCAGGAGCAATCTTTTGAGGATAGCAAGAAGGGGTGTCCTGAAACCCAACAAGGTCCACTCCCTGTTCCATGAGCTGGACTACCCCCATGTCCCAGTACGCATGTTCCTTGAGGAGCGCCTCGAAGAGAGAAAGATTCTTGCTTTCAAGCACCTTCTTCATATGATCCGGTAGGGCATTGTGCCTAGCCTTCTCAGAGCAGTTAAGCTTCTTGACAAGAATTTCAGCCTTAGCAATCGCCAATTTCCTCTTGAGCTCTAAGACCTTAGGGGGTGTCGTCATCACAGCTTCAAGGGCATCAAGAAAGTGTTTAGACAACGGTCTGGCGGCATCAAAGGGGTGAGGGCAGTTTAAGGCCTTACTCAGAAACTCAGGGGGAGAATGCAATATCCCCAGTTTCCACTGCTTCCCCGAGATTTCGGGTCCATCCTCGGTTGATCCCCCCGCGCACTTGGCAGAGAGGATGCGCTCGGAGGGCTGAAGCTTAGAACCCGACGGGACTACCCTAAAGGCGCGGTACTCGGGCACTAAAGGGGCATGGCGCTTTGTTTGGCGGCCCACCGCAGCAGTCGAGGCCTCTTTAATTCGGGAGAGCGGCCCCGGGGCAGTATTCCGAGCCTTGGCACACTGGAGCAGGCAGCCGGCTAGGCGATGGCAGAGGACCGGCGGGTAGGCTGCAGGTGCAGCCCAAGGTCCGGGCGGGGCGCGGACCATGCCAATGCTTGCCGTCGCAAGCAACAGCCAGAGCGTCAAAAGCCCGAGCCGTACAAAGGAGACGAGTCAGGGCTCGGCTCGACCCCCCGTGCATACAGAGGGGGTACACGATTTTCTGGAGGCCAGCCCATTTGGACAGGCCCGCGGCGGGGAGACGCGATCGGGCCATCGACGTGAGCAGGGCCCAGCTTTCACTTCGGTCAGGCTGTTCAAGGGACACGACGACATCATGTTGGGTGCACCAGCCGACGATGTCACAACAGAACACCAAAAGGGCCTCATGGCCAGCAAGAATCGGAGGCGTGAGATGTACAGCGAAGGGCACTCGGGCATGAAGAAGATCCCAGACAACCGATTGACCAGAGGCAGTGGCCAAATCCAGTTTACAGACCGGGGCCTTAGGGTGGTTGACGTAATGATCAAAGGTAACGACTTCGAACCCAAAGTCGAGCATGGCCCGAGACAGTCCTGCGGATCCAGCGAAGAGCTCGATGAACAAGGGTCGCTTGGCAGGCGGATCCAGCTTTGCTGGGCTCGGTGAAGTTGGCTCGCCAACACCCAAAGGGAGACTGCAAGCAGGGCCTAAACCACTAGGGGAAACCTGGGTATTGGGCTGCAAGTCCACAGTCGAGGGCACTTCAACTTTGCCCGGGCCCCGAACGAATCCAAGCTTGAGCAGCAAGTCAGCATCGGCCTGTGGGAGTTTACAAGCATCTCGAACCGAGTAGGCTGCAAGGACAATTCGAGGACCCTCGGACCATGGTAAGGTGCAATGCAAAAGACGCGGATCAAAGTACAGGCAGCGGTCAAGCTCCCGAGTGGAGCCCTGATGCACCTTGCCTTCGAACTGCATGGGCGAGGAGCCCTTGGGGTCGGCAACCCATAGACCTCCACCCTCAAAATCTGAACATCGGATCAACGCGCTAAGGCCGGTATTATTACGATCACGATGCATGTGAGTGAGGTTGTCCCGAAGGAGCACAAGGGATGTAAATGGAAAAGAGTCCCCGACGAACTGCTTTGCAAAACGCGCAAGGAGCTGGGTGCATGCAGGCAGGGTTCGAGTATTAGCAAAAGTACCCGTGACACCCCCGTGGACATAAGCACCACAGCTGAAAAGGAAGGCATTGGGGCCGCTTGACGGCCGAACACTGGAATCGCATGGCAAAAGGAATGACAATTGAGCCACAGAAGATGCAGGGATCTCGGCCTTCGCCAGGAGGTTCAGAGCGAAGCTCTCGGCATCCTGTGGTTCGGGGCCACTGAGGCCCTCAGCCAAAATTGGATTGGGAGACGCGGCCCCCTCGGGCATGGTCTCATGCTCAGGACCCGCGGGGGCCCCCGCCATTCAGGCGGGATCGGTGTGAGTGCACTCGATGAATGGCACTGGCCTGCCACACCCTCGGTAATAGCACCCGTGGTAGCCCCGAGGGCATCGGCCCTTCTTTGGATTCTTGAACTTGCATCGGCCCTGATTCCACAGGAAACACCAGGGTTTGCCGTCCTCGCTCTTGGGAACACATCCATCGGGCAATGTGTACTTAGGCGCCTTCCCATCGTCCTGGTTTTGATCAGTGGCCTTACCTTTGCCTTTCCCCTTCGGAGTCTTAAGCGGGAGCTTAGGATCGGGGTGAGGTCGCTTTGTCGGGTGAGGCATCGGAGGAGGCTTCACAAGCGGCAGCAAGTGCACAAGCACGTCAGTGCTCTTGCTTAAGCTTTCGATCTCAAGATCGAGGGGTCGAGCAGCGCCAGCCGACGCTTGGATCTGCCCCATAAGGTTGTGCGACAACAGCTGAAACAGCTCCCGGTCTGCAGCCATAACCTGAGAGAGCGAGACTGAGTGATACCCCGCAGGAGGCTCCCGCTGCATCCTCGAGAACAGGCTTTGAACCCAGGTTTCTAGCACGGTGTAAGAGGCAAGCTGCGCAAGCTCCATCGCCAGGGACCTCCGAGTCCAAGCTTGCCTCAACTGCATGTCAGTGCTGATGGAGCACCTCAGCTCCACTTGCTTGGCGGCAAGCTTCAGCTCATTTCCCTGTACCTGCAAGGTCGGATCCCTCTTGTTGGAGTCCATCTCCTGTGCTCGGCTGATGCACGCGTCTGGCTTCACGTAGCTGAGCACACCCGAATCAAGCTGGTCAACGTAGTTATCCACTAAGCGGTTTGCTGGCAGAGTGTCCGGGGTCAAGATAAGTCCAGGCAACTTTCGACGCAGGGCTTTGAGCCTTTCAGCCCGCTCTATCATTGGCAGCTTGCGAGTGGGAGCCTCGCCTGGCGCCTGATTTACCCGGTCACGCATCTCGGCAATCGACATTGACTGCGCTTCGAAGAGCAAGCGGCGCAACACTGACATTTGGTGCTCACTCGGTAGCGGATCTGCAAGGTGCTGCGCCCACCGGGAGACGGCCTCATCGCTAGCTGCACCCGGGGTCGAGGAGACCGCAAAGGCAAGAGCCCCAAAGGTCGTGTACCCGGCTCGGGCCAGCGCGTCCCTCAGCTCATTTGACAAGCCAACCTTCGCGAGCCGCTCGAGGAAGTAAGCAGAAGAGTCGAGACCTGAAGCCATGATCAGCGCTGGATGCTAATGATGTAAGCAGCAAAGTGTTAAGAGTGTCAGCCTGCATCCTATTTCAGCATCAAGTGTGACATGGACCCATGCATGACCGTCGCTAACTCTCCAGCTTGACTCGTGATTCCTGAGCCTACGGGTAACGGCAAGTGACATGCCAACGCTCGCTGTCCCGGCTCCAAAGGTAGCGCATCGTTTGGGTCGTCCCCCTCGGGAAGACTACGCCCATGCACTAACAAGAGAGTCAAAGAGAGCATGACAGACACGACACAGGCAATTCTTTTCGCAGTTCCGCCGCAACGGGTTTATAGATCTAGTCACCTACCAGGCCCAGGGCTCTCGAGCACTGATGGCATGCAGTAGGGAACTCAGCAGCAATGCCGGCTTCGGACAGTGGCGTGTAGTTCGAACTTACAGGCCGATGGCACCAAAGCATGCCGGAGTCCTTAACAACATGCGATATGCCCGAGAACCTGTGCACCACGATGTCCTGAAGGAACTGATCCGGGAACGCCCCCCGAACCAAGTCTGCGGCCTGCCGCCCGCCGTGACCTTCTGGGATCCCCGCGTCAGAGTCGTCGGAGGAGGCACTATCCTCCCCGGCTGGGGCGTGCTGCCCCAAGTTGGACGCCTGCGAGCTCCCTACCATGATGGCCTCGGCGAGGTGCTCCACCCGGCGGGCCGGTGGCAAATCTGGATTGAACGATCCCTCCTCAATCGTCTTGAACATCGCTAGGACCTTGGCGTAAAGTTTGGAGTAAGCCTCCCTGCTGTATACGAGCATCGACCTGGTGCCCGGGGCCGAATGGTGGCCCAGGTGCAGCCTTTCGGGCTCACTGAAGTCGATTCGAACTGAGCGGCTCGCCCACGTCAACAAGGTGGTCTTAAGACTATGGGTCCCAACTTTGCTGTTCGGCAGACTAACGGCCTCGAGAAAATCTCTAAGGTATGCTGATGCCTCTCCGGACCCCATGCGGGCCGTGCTCCACTGCCCCAGCCTCAAGGAGAACGAAGGGAGACAGAAGTCGCCTCCCCACTGAAGGCCCTCGTTCCTTCGGGCGGTGAGCCACCGGTCACCCCAGTCATAACCCGAGACACCAGTGGAGATTGCGACGTACGGCAAGGGTCTTGCTCTTCAGGCCATTTGCAAGCAACAGGGTGGTCTCAGAACCTTCGGATACCTCCACGGACTGCAACCCCTGGATATCCCTCCACCTGCCGGCAGAGTGGACAGCAAAGAGTATCTGGCCCAGCACACAGGCGTCGGTATCATTCAGGTCGTTAACAAGTAGGGCCTCAAGTGCCGCAACCTGTTCCACAGTGAGTGGGGGCCTCTGAGACAGCGGAGCCTTGGTGAGGGCCATGTCACGAGCTACGCCCCGAACCCTCGCAGATACCGCCACATCAGTTGAAAAGAAGATCAATCCAACGGAGTACTCCAAGAAAGTCAGCGACTGCAAAAACTTGTTTCCTGAAGTAGCCCCCCGGTTGGAGGACCGCATTTCACACAAGTACGCATATAGCTGCTCCTCATCAACTCGAAGAGGTTCTGCCGCCTGGCGAGCACACCACGCGCTGAACCGGGTGAGCGCACAGGCATGCCCATTGAGCGTGGATGATGCCTTGGCACGGAAAGCATCTGCAAAGGACTGAGCCACCACAGCCTCTTGCACCAGACCTCCCAGCTTATCAATCAAGGACTTACCCAGCTCACTGGCAAGAGGGTCACTAGTAATCAATACCTTGAGCTTGGCCAAGGCAAGATTGCGAACACCCTCATCGGAAGCCTCCGGCCGGAAGCGGTGAAGACGGTTCGCAAGTGACGCTGCTACGATCTGGGGCTTAGGGGCAGGAACCTTAGGCACGGCAGGCTTAAGGACGTCGGCACTACCTACCCCAGGCATTAGATCCAAATTGATCCGGCGCTGCAAGGTGTCATGCCAAGATGCGCCCCCGAAGATTGCAGCAAACGGTTGGGTCTCCCACGGGAGGAGTGGGGCTTCCAAGCGGAGCCTCTTATGGATATGCCCCACGGCACTCTGCTGCAACTGGTCCTCGGCGATGCTGTCCAGGGCCGGGACCGCCAGAGTTTGCTCTGGCTCCAAGATCGGTGGTGAAGGCTCACTAGGCGCACACTCCGCAGCGGCTGCCCCGAACGACCCCGCAATCAAGTACCACTCCCTCTCCGATTCAGAAATCTCAGCAGCACAAGAAGGGTCTGGGGCGCTAGGGGATCGGCCGTCCCACACCTCATCATCTTCAAGAAATGACAACAGCTGGTTGTCCGGAATCTCTTGATCTAAGCTTGGTGCAGCAGGAATGTCCTGGTCAGACTCTGGCACGACTGAACAGGCTTCTTGATCCCCAATCCCCCCGACATCTGTAAGATCAATGGAGTTGAGAAGCTCATCGACCTGGCGGGCGGAGTCACTCATGTCAAGGACGGTTGTAAGCAAGAGCCAGGCGCCGGCGAGCAGACTGCACCTGCTCTCGGATGGCTGCAAAGATAGCAGCAATTGCGCGGCTCACGGGCTGCACACTGTCAAAACAATTGACCCCTGCAAGTAAAAGGAACCGAGCCCCGGGAGCCGTGGCTCCAAGCAATTGCACAAGGTTGATTCGCAAGGGAGGCTCCGGCCGAAGAATCTCAGATTGCCAGCCCCTCACGAGTAAGCACTGGCACAAGTGCAGCAGAAGCAAGCGGCGGCGAGCCGGCGGCGGGCGTCGAAGACGCCGGTCCATGCGCGGCCCCCCCTAGGCCGGTTCAAAAATTTCATGAATGTTGGGCCCCGCCCTTCTGTTGCTTGAGAGGGCGAGCGCGGCCATGCTGATTGAGATCAAATCGCAAAGTAAATCTCGCATGCCGAAAATGCCAGGAAAAACATTCATGAAAAATTCACCGTGAAAATCACATGTAAAAATTCTGCTTTGAGTGAGACTACCACATACCGCAAGACTGTACACGATACTGGAGCCGCCCCGGCTCGCTCTGCGAGCCTACAGTTCTGTCTACTTAGAAAGCGCTACCGACAAGTCGGAGCGGTTCTTGACTACGCTTGAGACCGTCCACGTCGCTCCCCCTCCCACAATTAAAGACTCTCGTCAGCTGGGAGCACGCATGCCACACAAACATCCGAGATGGGATCTTCATCGCTCGTCGTTGGGATCATTTGGAACCACTGGCGTTTTACGGGCTGACGGCTCACCTTGCGCCACTGTGGGTGAGGTAGATGCCGCTCTACGTGCTACGCGTGCCTTCTGGCAGCAATCTCCACCGGACTATTCCCCGGAATGGGAGACAGTGCTCAGCGAATATCGACCCCCGCGTGCAACCCGGTGTACTCTTCCCCAAGAAGAGGACATCATGTTCCATCTCTTGCGTACGGGTGATTCATCGGCTGGACCCGATGGTTGCCCATATGAGTGCTACCGCCAGCTGCCCACAGAGTCTGCTCGCGCTCTATATTCGCATTTTTTGGATATCATCCTCGGAGTCGCCCCGCCCCCAACACAAGCATTGACTTTCATCCCCAAAGCGGACGCGGGCCAGTATGCGGACAACTTCCGACCGCTTGATATGCCCGACACGGCTGCTCGTATCATTGACTCTGCTGTCTTTGCGTCGGCCATGGCCGTCATTGCTCCTTGCCTCAACCAATCTCAGGCCCTTGTCAGTCAATTAAAAGAGGCGCCTGCTAATTTTTTGGTAGTCCAGGACTGCTTATTGTCAGAGTCGCAGCCTTGCAATGTTCTCCTTACCGACATGGCCAAGGCCTTTGAAAGAGTCAACCCCGGCTGGCTGCTTGAGGTCTTAGACCGCCTCTACGTTCCTCAGTGGGTTCGGCAATATGCCATTCACCTTCTCTATGGTCGTCAATCTTTACACCGTATTCAAGGCCTCCTACTACCGCCGCTTCGCATGAGACAAGGCCTCGCCATGGGACGGGCTACATCCGTTCTTCTATTCTGTGTTGCGATGGACCCACTCATTTGTTCGCTACATCGCATCCCTCGGGTGCGAATGCTCAAGGCATACATGGACGACAACTCCACAGCAGGCTCAGACGTTACATGGGTAGGCGACGCGCAAATCAGGTTCGCTTCTCTCTATAGTGCTGGCTTTCATGTCCTCAAGCACCAGTGCTTCTCTTCTGTACGGGTCCCATTTGCCATGGCAGAACGCTTGAGCCATGCCAGAGCAACAGGGGTCGTCTCGCCTGTACCACTAGAGTTCCAGGATCTCTTCCATCAAACAGCGGATCCTCATTTCACGGCAGCCAGCTTCACTGAAGTCTGTCGTAGGGTTCACCAGTTGCACCCCACTGACGCTCCGGGAATACAGTGGTTTTGTTGCAAGTCAGGCGAAACCCTTCTTCTAGTCACACAACATGCTCTGCGGGCTTACCTTGCAGGACACTTTGCCAGCTGCGAGATTTTCAGTGCTTTTTTGCGAGCCCCGTGTCAATGCAAGTGCAAATCCTCTTTGTTGTTTGGACGTGCGCCTACCCCGGAGCAAATTCATCAACTGGATGCCACACCCTGGGGACCCAAATTGTGTACGGAATCTGCGCCGGTATTAGGCTTTGTGCTGGAGCGAACCAGCAGGCTGAGAGGTAGACACAAGTGGAGTAGCTAATTCCCTTGTCCCATACTCCCCAGAACCCGCCATGGCTCACTCAGTAGGCGGAGATTTTACACGCAAGCGAACAAGAAAGGAAACGTGAAGTCTGTGCTACCTTGGACATGGCACCTACAACTATGGTACATGTGTTTTGTTTAAAAGCATGCTCAAGGCTCAAACTGTGCATAGCCTAAAGAGCGACGGAAAAATGAACATGTACAACTGGCATGAGCTGCAAAGGTGGCATGCACTTCAGCACTCCTCCTTCGCGGCCCCGCCAGGGAGCTGCGACCTACTTGCTACTGCAGGTCCAACCCGTCAGGGTGACGACACACCTACCCTGAACTACCTGGCAAAAGCTGGGCCAACTGCCCTCACTATGCGAGGGCTCTCAAGGCACCTCGTGTGGGAAAAAGACACAGCTACGGATGAGCTCACTGAGAGATCCAACCCGTTAGGGTGGAGTAGTTCCTACCCTGTGCTGTGCTGGGTGTGGTCTGCAGCGCTCCCGTGGCACTGCTGGCACACTTGAAACTCAACAAACCTGTGCGAGTGGGCGAGCGTGGAACAGGTCTTAGCGCGGTGGAGCTTGGTCCCTTCGGGTGTTGCAAAGTAACGCGTTGGTGCTCCACCTGCCTGCTCACACGTGCGAGTTGTTTGTGAGGGGCGGCGTCTGGGCGCTGCAGCAACAGACTGCGAGCTTGCTGCCTCCTCACGTGCAGAGATCTCGGCCTGGATGGCCTGCGCAGTTTGATCTCGAAGGCGCTGTAACTTGCGCGCCTTGCGGGGGCTCAGAGACAACACGGGTGTCCCTGCCTCTCGGCGGGAGATGATGCCTTGAAGGCACCACTTGAAGAACTCCCACACTGCAATGAAGCAGATACCAATGCAGATGATGGATACTGCCAACATCAAATCTGCATCAAGCGACACGGGGAGAGACAAGTCTTCTTCCTCGTCCGTTGTCTGGCTGGCAGCACCTACGACCTGAAAGAAGGCGAGCAGGACAGCGAAGGCACTCAGCTGCAGGTCTTGCTGCGCCCCGGTCCCAGTGCCCACAGCTTGAGTTTCACTGTAGGCCTGAGCTTCCGCCCGGCGAGGTACGCCATGCTCAAGCAAACCCCAGATGGCTGCGAGCTCAAGGATCCTCGCAGATGGCAGTGCTTTCGTCAGAAGATCTGCGGCCTGCTCAACACCTGGGCAGTAAACAGGGATGATTTCTCCTGCCTCATACTGCTCGCGCAAGTAGTTGGCGCGCACCCTCAGGTGGCGGGTTCGCCAAGACCCGTGACCGATAGCGATGGCCAGTGCAGACTGTGAGTCAACCCTCAAAGTCTTGTCGAAGCTAGAAACCCCGAACTCACTCAGCATGGCCTCTGCTGACTGAAGGGCAACTACAGCGTCAAGTCCAGCAACAAGCTCGGCTTCTGCGGTGCTGAGGGTGACAAAAGACTGTCGTGCTGAACGCCAGCACACCGGCGACCCGTGAAGGAAAACCACCCACCCCGTGTGAGAACGATTCCCTTCCGGCGCATAGCTGGCATCACTATACGCGATCAATCCTGTGTCATCCGCGTCAGCGGTGAGGGATAGCGCCTTGGTACGCTGCACATACGCAAGGGCCTTTTCTGCAATGCGGATGGCTCGTTGCGGCGCCTTCGTGCTGAGAGAGGCAAGCACACAAGCAGTGAAAGCTAAGTCAGGCCGAGTGCGTTGGCTTAGCCACAGGATTTCTCCAGTCAGCCTCTGTGCTGTTCGAACGGTCTCCTCGGTTGGGGACTCGTCCGTCAGGAGAGTGTCAAACGAAACAAGGTCACGCGGACAGGGGACCTTACCTAGTGCAGTGGGCTTTACGTTGTTGAGACGCAGCAGCTCTTCGGCGTAAGCCTGCTGGGACAACACAAACCCGGAACCTTGCACTAGGATTTCAACCCCTAAAAACCTCAGCGGGTGCTCTGCGGTGGCAAGTGCGAGAGGCGTCGTTTTCCAGATGCCCTGGATGGCCGTAGCCAAGGCTTCGATCACCTCTTTACTGCCTGCAAGCAAAAAGTCGTCAACGTAAGTGAGCAACCCTCCTACGACTAGCCCGTCAGAGGTGCGAACAACACGCCACCAGTTTGGGTCCAACCTTCCTTGCTGGAGCTGCAGTTCAACTCCGTCAACAACACACCTCAGCGCCCGAAGTTGGCAGTCTCTGAAGTCCGACCAAAGCTTAGGCGACTCCCTCAACCCGTACACAGCGTGCGTGAGGATCCAAAGCTCCCCTTCCTCTGCCAAACCTAGTCTCACTAACAACCTAGGCGGCGTGAGAGCAAACACTGGAAAACCTCTGCCTTGCGGGATTGGGGTCAACAGAAAAGCTGAGGTGACATCTAGAGACCCGATGCACCAATTCCTCTTGGAGCTGATGATTACAAAACAACGGAGTGTCTCTGCAGCAGCACCTGAAGCGTAGACTTCAGACCCTGTGCCGGGGGCGTGGTTGCCACAAGCGACCAGGCGAGCCTTGCGCTTGTGGTAAGCCTGACCCTTCCGGGTAGCGAGGGAGGCTTCAGCAGGGTCTGGTGGCTTGACTGTGAACACAAACTTAGACGGAACCACCTTCACTTCCTTGCGCTTTAGCCAACCTCCGGAACGGACCTCTGCAGGGGGCAGTCGCCGCACAGCCTTCTCAATGACACCGATCTCCTTGTGAATGGACGGCATCCACTTCTCGATGCATTGCTCTGCATCCCGAGGGTCTACAGTGTGGACTACCTGCAGTGGTTCTTGCAACCCGTCAAGCAACAGCTCTACGTTGGTAGTGTAAACCGGCTCAGACTTGCAAAGGGCACAAGCTTCACTCGCGTCCGAGTCGTCAGACCTGAGAACACACAGCTGCTCACCTGTCTGCGGGTGTGGAACCCACAACTCCCACAGCACTGGTTGTTCCGGCAAGGAGTCTTCGCTTAAGCCCTCCTCCTCCTCCTCAACCTGTGTCTCGGTGTCTGGTTGGCAAGCCAGCAGGGCGTGCTCAGACTGGGTTCGCCTTTGGTCCGGCGAGTGTTTCAGGTTCCACGACACCTCCAGCTCTACAGTACCTGCTTCTACGGCTTGGTTTTCTTTCCAACCTCCGCCTTTAAGCACAGTCCCAGGCGCTAACTCAGAAGTCTTCCCGTCAGGGTGACGTGCCTTTGTCTCCTGAAGGGGCTCTTCTTCGAAGCAGTCAAACGCGTCTAGACGTCTCACGTCTTGCTGCTCAGTCAGCGGTAAACGTACCGACGCTGGGAGTGGAAAACCTAAAGCTTCAAGGCTTTGAAACTCGTGCTCAAGCTCTTTGCCTAACGTGTTGACAGTGTAGCCGACAAGCACTGCTCTCTCACCCTTCCAGGGAGTGGTGGCATGGCGGCGAGTAGGGTCTAGGAAGAAGGGCTTACCGCGCTCTAACTTGTGAGTTGTCCCTAACCAGCGCCTACCTTTGCCGTCTACCCGCTCCTCTACAGGGCCACTGACTAGGTCACCAGGCTTGAGTTCTATCCACAAATCCCCTCCGTTAGGCTGGAGCTTCAAAGGGAGGACTACATTTGTGGATCCCTGCAGGTTGTGGTGGTCGGCGTGCACGGGTTGAACAGTGGAATTAGACAACCAAAGCGAGGTGTACTCAGCTGTGGGTGCAACTGCGGAAAGCACCATATTCATAAGCTCTGTCAGCCAAGGCTTATCTGTGGTACCCCCTAAAACTCCTACGACACCTCCGTGACGGTACAACCCAGCTTTGTGTTGCAGCTGGGGCGCTGCTCTGCACACTTCGGCTAACACCCACAACGCTTCATCAAGGTCCCAGTCGTCCTCGATAAGCTCCGTAGCTAAACCTTCGAGGTCTTGCAGACTCAAGCGCGCTACACGGGCAGACTCCTCCTCAACCGCTGACACAGGCCCTTCCGGGTGTGGAGCTTCTGCGACAACCCCATATACTTACCTTCAACCCATCTATCCTCCAAATCACCCTTCTTGCTAAAAAACTTTCGCTTCACGGAACACTTCCCTCCAAAATGGATGGCAAGCTTGGACTTCATGCCCAGCTGCTGCGCCCGTTGCTGAGCTGCAGCTGTCATGATTGCACAAGGCCACAAGGACGAGTCGACCTCGCCAGAGGTGAGAAGGGTTCGTGCTCGTGCTTTGAGCCAGCGCACGGTGTTCTCAGCAGAGCCGTTCTGCTGCGGAACGTCTCCTTCTGTTGTTGTTGTGCGGACTCCACGCTCGTGAAACCAAGCTCGAGTCCTTTTGTTGAAGAACTCACGACTGCGGTCTGTGTGGAAACGAAGCACGGGGAGGTTTAGGGACCTTAGGGAAATGTACACCTGTTGGAGGGCATTTAGGATATCATCACCCTTGTTTGTGTGAAGTGGCACTGCAAACACCAGCCTCGCCACTCGCCATGTCAGGCGGTGTTTCGAGTTCACACCTGGCTGACTCCCAGGGATGCTCCTCGGCAACTTTGGCTGCAAACTCCCTCGGCCCTTCAACTCCTTCACCTTCCGCCTCCTCCTCTTCTTCCGCTAAACTTGGCTCGTACAGGGAGTCCTCGTAATCCTCGTGCGGGGGGCCTTCTGCTGCGGGAAAGGCCTCATCTGCAAGGTCATCCGTCCCTCCCGGGAGGAGTGCTGCATCATCAAACCCCTCGGTTTGGCTGGGGTCTGACTCCTCCTTCACTCCTTTGAGCCGTGGGAAGCGGTACGACACAGCGAGGAAGTACTTGAACGTGGCTGGTCGGTGGTTGCGGCTTTCTGGGTCTTTGCCCTTCACACGGATGGGCCCCGCAATGTCGGCTGACATGCAATACACATCCGGGTGAACTACACCGTGGTGGCGGCGGCCGTTTCCGGCACCGTGCACGCAAACTGCACAATCACGGCGGTACGGCACGTGATTGTTCGCAACATGCTGTTCCCAATCCGCTTGGGTGAATTTCATGATGCGGTAACAGGGCCAACGTTGGAGTGCGTACACGATGGCTTGCACAAACCCCGGCGCCCACACTGGAGACACACGGCTGTCGGCGCTACCACAAACCTGCGATACCTCACCCTGAAACGCTTGCAAGTCTCTAAGGTCGGGCAAGTTGGTGCCAACAGTTGTGGGTTTATCGCCCGCGTGCCCCAACGGACCTTGACGGAAATGCACCTCAAACAAACCAGCCTCTTCAGCGTAAGTTTGCCACAGCGCGGTATTCCAAAACGACGGGGCGCTACCCACAGCAGAATGGCTTGAAGCCATGTGGTGTTCAACCGACGGTTGCTCCAACATGAATGCCACCATGGATGTTCCATCCGACGGGTTAGGGTGCACACGCCTCCCGGCGGTGGAAAGTGCATGCAACCACAACATGCGAGCATACAAACCCGTATCACGATCAACGAGATCACGCTCGTCAGAGGTGAGAGTGCTCAGGCCAAACGGTTCAGTGGGCGAGCGGAGTGGATGTGGTCCATCGGCGCGGTGCCCTGACATGGACCACGTGCGGGTTGGTGGACCTCCAATGACCGCCGCAACTCGTCCCAACTTTGCAACCTTAGCAAGAAGCGTCCAAAGCGGATCATGGTAAAGATCTTGGCTCCTTGAGCGGCAAATGTCAAGCTCAACAACAACTGTATCCTGCGACTCCAATCGTTTGAAAGCCTTGTGCGAGCCAGGGCCCGCAAACAAGTGAACAACCCAATTGGATGCTCGATGAAGTGCCTTCCTCCTTCGCCGGTTGAGGTTTGGCATACCTTCTTCAAGAGCTTTCCACAAAGTCTTGGAGTCCACATCTTCCGATGGGAGTAGGCCTGACAATGCACGATCGGGCACATCCTGAAAGAATGGCGCCGTGGATACTGCCATGTGGCCCGCTGCTGGCGCTGACGAGCTAACATGCTCCACCAAATGATCCCACCATGTGCGCTGCATCGCGATTTTCGCCTGTCTGATGCGATCCTTCCCCTCATCCGTTCTTCGCCTGAGCTCCTCAACCTGTTGCATTTTGTGTTCCTCCAACCGTGATATCAGCGTCAGGGCCTGGCTCTCTACCAATTCCGGGCAACCATTTTTGACCCTAAGCCTCAACGACTTACCATCGGGAGGATACAGCTTGCAACTACCGGCTGACCAAACCAGTTTATACCCAAGTTGCTCGATGATTGCGCCCATTGGGACTATTGGCAGCACTAGGCCATCCCTCCCGGGAGGCAGGAGCAAAGTACCTGAGGATGTGAGCCGCATTGTTGTGGTGGTATCGCCGGCTAGGCTCACCTGTACTTCCGATGCGGCCTCCCACTCCTCCTCATCCATGGCCTGCCTCATGGCATGGGTGGCCCCAGAGTCCAAAAGCGCATATGCTATGGGTTTGGGGGCCTCAAGCAACCCCCCATTCTCGGCTCGAGAATGGGGGTTTGCCAAACCCTGATTTTTTGCATTTCCCAACCCGCGAGTTGGAGCCTCCTGATGGGGGGGTTGGAAGTCCCGGTTTGGGAGACCCGAAACCGGGAAACAGCTTGCGGGCACGACTGAGCGAATCGTGAGCCTCTTCACCGAAGGATTGGGTGTAGACGATGCGGGCGCAGCCGGTGCCGGTGGCACTGAGGGCTGCTGCGATGCAGTACTCAAGCCTTCCGGCTGAGGTTGAGGCGGCTGGGCTTGCGGCGTGGTGCCGCTGCACGGTGGATTGGCCTCCAACTGCCGCAAAGCCTGGACTGCCTGTTGCATGAAGGTTTCCATGTTGAGCACTGGCGTGGCTTGGACAACGGGTTGGCCCGAGGATGTGGGGGATGAGGCTGCCTGTACGGAAGGTTTTTGATCCGGTGCTTTGGGTTCCGCCTTACCGGCCTTGCAATCCTTAGCGCGATGCTCCTCGGAACCACAATTCAAGCACTTCTTAAACCGTTCCGCCTTAGACAACTCGTTCATGGAGTGTTGGCTTTTGCACTTGGACCCAAACCTACACCCGTTCGGCGAAAGGAAATACTTGCATGTGTTGGCATTCCCTCCACCTTTGCCTCCACTCCCCTTTCCCGGCTTATCCCCAGCAACACCAGCTGCCTTCAATGCCAGGTTACCTGATCCACCCTTTTTGGCAACATGAGCTCCAGCCAAAGTCTCAAACTCGGCCAACAAATGTTTGTGGTAGGATTTGACCGCCTCTTCCGAGGGTCGACCATGCAACTGCAGTGCACTTTTCACCATCTCGGTTCGCCATGAAACCTCCGGCTCCTTAGAGATGACGGGCTTTGTCATTGAGGTTAGGCCTCCCACCAACACCATTGGATCCGGCAAACTCATACCAAAGTCTATGCACCTTTGATACCAGCGTCCCCACGCCCTCAATGCTGACACACCTGAGGCTGCATCCTGCACCACATGGGGATTTTGCAAGTTGCTCAACACCAGGTTGCGTTCCCCTATTCCCCCGGGCTGGTAGGTCGTGTACAATCTAAACAAGATTTGCGATGCAGCTTGATTCGCCTTACGGGCAATGATATCAGATTTCACTGTGGGGTCCAGGGCATCCAAAAGCATTGCGCATGCACGCGCATTCACTCGCCCCCACTTGCCTTCTGTAAGCTCTGGCCTCTCGTCAGGCTCAAGCGTCAAGCGCTCGATGGGGGATGCGACGACCCACTTATCGTACGCATCTTTGCTTACCTGAACTACCCCTGACCACCAAAGTTGAGAAGAATCCGAAAAGTCACTCATCAAGCCCGCAATGAGCTGCAACCAATCCTGAAAGTCCAACGAGCCTCCAGCTGGATCGGGTGGGGCTAGTCTGGGAAAGGTTGTAATGCCCGTTTTCACCGTTTCCGGGGCATCCTCCTTCCTGCTACTGCTAAGGTGCTGGGCTTGCAAAGTTTGCAGTTGCTGCACTCCCAACAATACGGCATCAAGTACGGTGTTACCTGATGTGGGAGGGCCTTGGGTTCCCCCCGGCGACACACTGGCTGCTCCTACTGGCGCCGTGCTGGCCTGAGCAGCTGAAGCCTGGGGAATTGGGGCACTAGCGGCAGCAACTGACTGGAAACCAGAGCCCGAAGCCCTGATCTGGCCCAAACCCGGGTTTTCGGCTCGAGAATGGGGGTCTGGGCCAGAAGAGGTGGAATCCCCTTGCACACCCGATAATGCGCTGCTTGGCTGCCCAACCCTTCCGGGTGGCGCTGCATTGCTAGGTAACCTTTGGGAACCTTGCAACCCCGACCAAAAGTTGGACCATAACCCTGAAGTTGCTGAAGCTGCTGTTTGAGCGGGCGCTCTCAAAGCCTCAACCGCCTGCGCTGCAGCATCATGCACCTGATACGCTATTGGAGTGCGCACTTGCGCATCCTGAAGGGGTGGCCTGGGAACCTCAGCAAGGGGTGTCGTTGGAGCCATTGGGGCACTACTGGTCATTGCCACTTCTCTCCTTACCTGTTCCCTAAGAGCTTGTTCCCTTTGGGCCGCCTCCTCCAGTTGCCTCCGCATCCTCTGTATTTCCAAGTCCTGAGCCTGCGCCCGTTGATCAAACCCCGCTAGCTGCCTTGCAACCTCAGCTTGAATCGCTTCTTGGGGCAGGGACGATGAGTCTGTTCTCGATGGGGGTTTTTCGGGCAGGCTACCGTAAAGTAAGGGGGCCCTCTGTTCTAAAGCTTGCATGCGCTGCAACATGTCCGCGCTCAACAAGGAGCCATCCCTTCCAGGAGGCGGTGCAAAGGAAGTGGGTGTACCATGCGCTCCCAACTGTGGTGGCGAGCTACTCTGCGAACCCAAACTCCCTTCTCCCAGAGCCAATTGCCTTGGAACACCGCTGGGACTATCACGTGATTGTGATGTGATTGCTCGTGGTGGTGTGGCGTGTGTGCCTTGCGCCACTGCGGGTACCTGCACCACCTCAGTGCGCGCTACACGGAAAAAGTCCCCAACTCGCGTCATAAGCTGGAGCCCTGTACTAGGGAAGCCCTCAACCATCTCAGCTATGGTTGGCAATCCCTGTTGCGATCGTGGGGTCACAAACCCCTCCGTGGAAGCACCAGCGACTACTCTACCCCCTGGCTCTGCGTCACCACTCGCGGTACCTAACATGCCAGTGCTGGCCTCTAGCCCTGGGCTCCCGCCCGGCGCGACATTGCCGGGTATCGGCACAACCATCTGTACCTCATCACCGCCTTCAGTGGCAGTCGACACCTGTGGCATTCCCCCTGAGTCTGCGCAAACCCCAGTCTGGTCTATGCCTCCAAGTGCCCCTCCCGTAGCCATAGGTTCAAAACCCATTCCACCTGTTTGGCCATGCACAAGTGTTGGCGTTGAACCTGTCTGAATACCATCCCTCCCGGGAGGTGGGGATGGATTTGCTGTGGTGCCATAGCCCTGCCCAAGCGTTGGGCTCATAACCTGCTGGAGCGAACCAGCAGGCTGAGAGGTAGACACAAGTGGAGTAGCTAATTCCCTTGTCCCATACTCCCCAGAACCCGCCATGGCTCACTCAGTAGGCGGAGATTTTACACGCAATCGAACAAGAAAGGAAACGTGAAGTCTGTGCTACCTTGGACATGGCACCTACAACTATGGTACATGTGTTTTGTTTAAAAGCATGCTCAAGGCTCAAACTGTGCATAGCCTAAAGAGCGACGGAAAAATGAACATGTACAACTGGCATGAGCTGCAAAGGTGGCATGCACTTCAGCACTTTGTATTATGGGGTGCGCCAACATACGTTGGCAGCACGGCTGGCCCTTCCACCCTTCCGAAAGCGCAAATCCTCCTCACGGGCCAAAAAGCGGCATCGTCCATTGCCCGTAAAAGAAAGTTATTCCAGCCACTCCGCCAGTCTTTACCGGAGCGTGCCATATGTTGCCGAGCGTATCTGCAAAGCTGCCTCCAATATACCCAGCAAGTCATTCCGCCAGATGCAGGCGAGCAGCAGCGCACCCTGGTCGCCTGCGCTAAATACGTTCTTGGGGGTGGAAGACATTGGCTCGAAGCGAAGCACGTCAATGGCGTCTTTCGCATTTTTAAGATTCCGCAGCCCGGTACCTGGCGGTTGTCATGCCCTCTAGGGCGATTGGGGTTTCTGTTGCGATTAGCCCCAAAACTTGCGATCGCGGCAGTTGGGGGAATGCGTCCGGTCTTACCGGGGGAAAAGCCTCTCCTCGCTGCCGTTCTGGGACAGGTTACCCGCAGCCTTGATAATACTACTGCTGCTCTACCCATACGGGACGCCCTCCAACAATACGCGCGAACTTTAGTTGCTACCAACTTTAGCGCTTGGAACGAAGGGTCCACAAAGGAATCGCTGTCTCACATCCGCAAACTTTATAAACGCTGCATCCTCGAGACAGAAGACTCACAAGCCGCTCACTACTTGCTTGACAAAATTGCCAAGCAGCCGTGGGCGTCGGCCGGCTTGCAATGGGTTGCAAGCGTCCTTAATTGTCCGGCCAGTCTCTCTAGCACGGTTGCACGGGCCTATGCACTTCGGTGGATCGTGGCCGAAGAGGCTGATGCAAGTTTTGTGTTTCGCCAACATTATACACGGCCTGTCACGTGTGCTCAGTGTCACCATCCACACCACCCGGCCAGCCTGCAGCGCCTCGGGCACTCGGGACAGGGCAGTCTCTGTAGAGGTTGTCTTTTAGCCCTCGGTTGGCCTGAGCATAAAGCTTGGCTCGCGTGTAGAGTTGATGCGCTTGCACCCTTCATCCTCGAAGCAGGAAACGAATGGTGGAGCATGCCAAATCTAGATGCAACACCCGACACCCACCCCGAGGAGAATTGGCGCCATATCGCCCGCAGTTTTTAATTATCTGGAGCATCCGTGCTTGCTCTGCGGCCATGCGGACAACTCTGTAAGGCATTGGCTCTGCGAATGCCCTGTCGTTACGCACTCTGCACGATTGCGGACACAACAGCCACTAGTGCTTCAGGGCGAGGCCTGCCCAAACATGCCGCGTCTTCGCTAGAGCTTATATATCGCCTCTGCACGGCGCTATCTCAGAGAGCTTGGCGCAATGTGGACCCCGGGTTGGACTCCGCCGTCAAAAATCCATGACTGCGGACCCCTTGAGCATGCAATCAAAATCGCGACCGCCGCCTATTGGGGGGCGCCCGCCCGGTTCCGCTCGGTCTATGGGCCGCCGGCGGATTCATTGCGCAATGGACCGAGTCACAGCTGCCTTTTTTCCCGCGGCCTTAGTGTCTCGGCGCCGGATGCTTTCTCTCGAGTACGCCATAGAGCCACTGGTCAGCAACCGGCTGTTCCCACTACAGTCGATTTTACAGAGAGCTTCTCTGTCGCTGTACTCGACCCCCATGCAGTGGAGGTTGGGTTGCTCTACCTTGCTCATTCGGTTGCGAAACCGAATGTCTGCGTTGAACACCGCCTTTGCACCTGCGGCCGAATTCATGCTTTCGTCACTGCGCTATGTAGCATCCCTGCAGGTGCTTACCTTACTGCCCATGCAGCGGTACCCTGCGGATGCACTGTATGTCCAGTTTGATGGAGGATGCAAGCGACACTTAACAGCTGGAGGGGCTGGCGTAGCGATGTGGCATCAAGTAGTCACCGGCGCGGCGGACATTACTTTCTCATTGCCTTTACCTGACTGTGTAGATGCCTACGAGGCCGAGGCGGAGGCGGCAATACTAGCGGCAATCCGGTCATTAGAATACGCACTCACCCTCAGGGGAAGGGGGGTATCAATTCGAGTCGTTCATATTCAGCGAGATAATCTTACCATAGTCGCTTACTTGGCCGGATTCGGCCGGCTCCGCCGGGTTAGCTTAGTAAAACGCTTCCAAAGCGCATGGGACGCCCTCGCCAGGTCTCACATTCGGGCAGAGTGGGAACAAGTCCTGCGAAGCGCCAACACGGTTGCAGACTCGCTTGCTGGAGAGGCGCTTGAAGCGGCTATCCTTGTACAGTCCCATTCCCTCGTCCCAACGACTCTTTATGTCAGTGTTTTTGACCCCGCCGTCGGTCTTCCCGCCAACAGTTGGTCTGTCCGCTGCGGTTTTAGAGGCGTTACAACCTTGTGCGCGTCATTGGACCGGTCTGCAACTCTCCATTACGCTGCAACAACTGCAGGAAAGCAGGAAGGTAATCTCATTGCCGGAGCCGGAGCCCTTACACTTCCTCCATGTTGGTCGAGCTCTAACTGTGCTTGGGCCCCACCACTTAAGGGGCATACGAGCGCTGCGTGATCTTTGGCAGGCCTTCCCTTCTAGAACGCTCGTTGCCAATGACTATCACCGCAGCTCAGCCGCCCACAGGGCCGCTACTACTGTCGAGCCGGAATTTCACATCTCACACGACCCATACGCCTTCTTGCGCTCGGACCGCAATTTACTGAAATTGATCTTGTCGGAGCGCATTATGAGGCGTTACGAGCTTTGACCATTTCCTTGGGACAGACTAACTTGCTTCTGCCAGTGCAGCTGCTCTCTCTATGGAGGGTGGTACAGAACCTCACTCTGTTGCAGTCTCGGGGCTTATATCTCAACATGCTTGAGAATTCTGTTATTTTACCCTCTTCTAAAATCAGACTCTGCGGTTCGAGGGCGAACGATCTTAGGGGCTTCTAAAAGCTTGCAAAAAGCTTCTAAACTGACTTCTAGAGAGCGAGCCGAGAGCGTAGGTGTGTATGATAGGGAAGACTATTGAACCAATTAATTTCCGGCCGTAATCGGGGTGATTTCGCGTGCAAAACGGCACCGCGGAGACCCCCCGTGTTCGCGGTCTCCATTCGCTTCGATTTCCCGAAGTTCGGGCGAAAAGTCCTTAAAAAACGGGCCCGAGGAGGCCCCCCGAGTTCGCGGTCTCCGTTCGCTTCGATTCCCCGAAGTCCCCGAAACGAGCCGAAAAGTTCCTAAAAAACGGACCCGAGGAGGCCCCCCGAGTTCGCGGTCTCCGTTCGCTTCGATTCCCCGAAGTCCCCGAAACGACCCGAAAAGTTCCTAAAAACGGACCCGAGGAGACCTCGCGGCACTGTTCGATTCCGTCGAAAAGAATCCAAGATGATCCCATGATGATTCAATATTGGATCCATGATGCTTCAATAATGATTCAAGATGATTCAATAATGATTCAATATTGAGTCCTTGATGACACTACATTGACTCCATCATGCATCAATGTTGATCTTGAGGTGCAAGAGTCGAAAGGGATATACCGCGATTTCGTTAATTTTCGCGTGGTTTCCCAGCCCTCGGCCGCCATCGAATGGTCCAATAGTCTTCCCTATCATACACACCTACGCTCTCGGCTCGTTCTCTAGAAGTCAGTTTAGAAGCTTTTTGCAAGCTTTTAGAAGCCCCTAAGATCGTTCGCCCTCGAACCGCAGAGTCTGATTTTAGAAGAGGGTAAAATAACAGAATTCTCAAGCATGTTGAGATATAAGCCCCGAGACTGCAACAGAGTGAGGTTCTGTACCACCCTCCATAGAGAGAGAAAAAATGAGCGCTGTGAGACTGTGGCTGATCCCGTGCCATCCGCAGGATTTTGATTGGAGTCCCTTCTTCTGGATGTTGAAAGAGCTCAAAGGCCGATTCTCGATGTCGTGGGAAAACCGCACCACTTCCTGTCTCTTGCTTGAGCATGCTGAAACCAGCGACGATTCGCCGTACGATTCGGAACCGAGACGTGGTAGGTGTCGTAATTTGACATCAGCATCGCGGAAAGAGCGGTTTGGATGTCTCATTGTATGTGTTTCGGAAAGTATTCACGGAGTGGATAGTTTCGCCGAATTTGACATCAGCATCTTCTCGGCAAGTATGCACGGAATGCATAGTTGTCGGTCACTTAGACTTCCGCGATTCCATGGTTAGGCACTCCACGCCTAACCTAACCGTGGTTCGCGCTGGGTTCGGAGAAGTGGAGGATAATATCCCCCACTTACTGAGACAGAGGTCAACTGTGAATTGAAGGATCCAGCCCTTCAATCTGGTCCTTCATTTCCAAAGAAGAAGAAGCTCACGGCGTGAGCGACTTGGGTGTTCCCCATTGACTCAAAAAGTGAGTCAATAAGTGTCCGACGAAATCGGAGACTTCCAGATATCCTCAAGCATCACTTTCAGAAGAAGTTGAGAGGTTAGGGTCTCCACCCCTAACCTCAGTTTCTCATTCCGTGAGAAACGTCCTTTTTTCAGTGTACGTCGAAATCGTACACTGCAGTGTGTCACGAAATGACACACTGCCGACCATTGACGAAATGACGCAAATGACCGGCGGGAACGGTCAATGCGGAAACCACTTCGGCAACGGGAATCCAGCTTCTCGAAGTCTTCGACGAAAACGTACACTTCTTTTGTGCCACGAAATGGCACAAAGCAACCTGACCTCTCAAGCAAAGTCCGATTTCGTCGGACACTGCGGCAGCGGGAATCCCACTTCTGCGAGAACCTCCCGGTGCTGCTCCGTCGCCCGAGCATAGGCCTGCGGAACGTAAGCCGCAAGCGCCCACATGCTGCCCTCGTGTGGCTCCACCATGTGATAGCGGCGGGCATCGAAGCTCACCGGTTTGTCGTGCATGTCGAGCCACTTGCCCCGCAGCTCCCGCTCGCCCGTCTTCGCAGCCAGTCGGGCCGTCGAGTCCCCCTCATCGTCTTCGATCCACACCCGGCCTCCTGTGTAATCGCCCAGGGCAAGCGCGTGATTCAGATGCCCCGGCATGTTCTGAATGTCGCGGTGCAGGCCCATGCGAGGGTTGAAGAGCACGGCGATGGAGGACCAGGTGCCGTTCGGAAAGCGGCTCTTGAGGAAGCGGTTCACGGCAGAGCAGGCTGCCCGCTGGCCCGTTGCGTTGGAGACCCCGACGATGCCCCCGTGTCCGAAGAGACCCAGCGTCGCATATCTCTCGTAAGCCCCTGGCCCCACAGCCCTGGTGCGGCCCCGATGCTTCCAGTCTGCAGACCAACAATCAAGCAGCTGTACGAGATTTGCTTCGGTCGGATTCTCCACGACGTTCTGGCACGCGGACTCCATTTAATCCCTCTTTGATTTTTACACCCAGACAGGCCCGCTCGGGAGCTCCAGGCGCTTCAACTCGAGGGGCTTGCGCGGATCGTCCGCCAGCGCCGGGCATTCGGGATCTCCGTCCCAAAACAACGGACGCCTGGACTCGTAACAGAGCATCTCAATCTCATGCTGTCCGCGGCGCGCCAAGTCGCGGTCGCTGAAGCAGCTTAAAGCGGCATTGGCAACAGCCATCACTCGCCCTTCACGCCGCTGCAACAACGCTGTCGTGGCAGCCGGCGTATAGCACTCGCTTTCGCCCATGTGGCGCTCGAAACTGGTTCGCGCGAAGTACAGGGCGTCGCATATAACCCTGCCGTGACACAGGTCCACGAAGCTGTTGGCATTCTGGTAGGGCGCTCGCAAAGCCTGCCAATGGGCTCTGTTTGCAAAGCGTCCAGGGACAAAGCAGCTCCACCAGGGACTGCGGCCCTCCAGGCAGGACGTCCTCCAAAGACTTCGCCGCGCGACGTGCGCGCTTGCGCTTCTTCGGAGCAGCCTCGGCTCTGCGGCGCTTGGTCGGGAGCACCATGGTTGCGAATTGTGACTCGAGGTCGTGTTTGGCAGTATGGGGCGCAATCCCGCCCGGCCTTTATGGGGGCTGCATCGGGTGGGCTGGGCTTTGAACGCGCACCTCACCGCAGGAAGTTTTGGTAGTCAAGAGGCAGGGGGTCCCGCGGGCGGTTTGCGAGCTCTGCTCCCGAGGTGTTCATGTGCATGACCCGGAGGCCCGCCGCTGCGCTTTCGGAGCCGATCGCCTGGGCCAGCACGACCAGGCGTTTTTCGCGGCGGGGCAGAAGCTCCAAGGATGCGTCCTTGAGATAATCCTCTTGCTCGAGAGAGCACCGGAAACAGAAGTCTTGGTGGCACTGGTCCGCGAAGCTGTTGGCGTTGCGGGCGGGGAAGCGCAGCTGGTTCCAGGTCCTGTTGGCACAGGCCAGCTGCAAGAGATCGCGGGCCATGTGAAAGCCTGCGTGATCGCAGACGCCGGCGTCGTACATACGCCCGGCTTCGTGAAAGGTTTCATCACCCCCGCGATCGGTCGGAGTGGTCCACGGTGACAGCCAGGTGGCGAGCATCGCGGGACCGCCTGGCAGGACGTCCTCCAAAGACTTCGCCGCGCGACATGCGCGCTTGCCCTTCGGAGCAGCCTCGGCTCTGCCGCGCTTGGTGGGTGGCGCCATGGTTGCGAACTGTGACTCGAGGTCGTGTTTGGCAGTATAGGGCGCAACCCCGCCCGGCCTTTATGGGGGATGCATCGGGCGGACTGGGCTTTGAACGCGCTGTCACGGCGGCGCCGTGGGTCCCGGATTGAAATCTCGAAGCTGCCGCACCGCCAGTGGCACCGGCCGCCGAGTCAGCCGCGCCTTAGGCTCCGCGGAGCCGCGGGGCACCGGGAGCGCATGCTTCAGCAGAGTCTCCGAACCGTCGGTGGCCCGCACCGTCATCGAATCGTAGCTCGAAACCTCCCGCGCCGCCCCGTACTGGGGCTGGAAGCTCCTCGCCGCATTTGTGGGGGCCCGGAACGCCCCCGCCTCCTCAAGCCGCCGCTGGACGGCTCCTCGTCAACTCGTCATTGTGCTTGAACTTCGCTGCATTGTCTTGGTAGACCCGGAAGCTCCCAGCCGGCATCGTCTCCACATCCTCGGGGGCCACCGTCACGGCCGCACGCGGCCTGGCATTGTAGGCTTCCGCCGCCTCTTCCACAGGGCCACCTTGCCCGCCAGGTCCTTCTTCAAAGTTTGAATCGCCCGGTCCACCACCGCCGTCGCATTGCGGTGCGCCTCCGGGCAGCGCCGCCTCCAAACCCCGAAATTCGTTCCCCATGTCCGTCGTGACCACGACGTTGGTTTCGTCCTGGACCAGCTCGGGGATGATCTCCGCGGCCGCTCGGGTAACGGTATCCGCCCGCTTGTCGGGCAGGGCCTTCGTGGCCACCTCCCGGGTGAACACATCCGTCACCACAAGCCCGTACTTGTTCGCCCCCCTCGTGTTCTGGGAGAAATCCCACAGGTCCGCTTGCAAGCGGTCGTTCGGCCCCTCCGCCGCGCTCTTCCCCAGACTCCGCGGCTTCGGTGCGAGCACCTGCCGCGCCACGTCGCTGCGCAATGCCGCCTGGGCCCGCGCACTCGTGAGGTCCCGCCGCTCCGGGAACTCCCGTCGAGCGATCTGGTAGAGCTTCCTGGGGTCTCTGACGTTGAAATCCTGGGCCAGCCGCCCGAGCAGCTCCATCGCACCTTCCTCTGCCATTTCTAATCCGAGTCGCCCTTGCGACCCTTCTTCTTCTCCAGCTTCTCCACTCGCTTCTGTAGCTTCTTGACCACGCCCCACAGTACCACGCTGAGTTTCTGATAGTCCAATGCCATCAGCTCCCGGCCTTCCAGCTTCTTGACCTTGCACATCGTCGCGCCGAGCTTCCCGCCACGAAGCCGATCTGCTCCTTGCCGCCGTCGATGCGGTCGAAGATTTGCGGCTCCACCGCATCGAAGGTCTCCTGCAGCTCCTCGTCCGGGATGGCCCGGACGTTCTCCTTGAGCGCCCGGTCGCTCAGGTTGACGAAGCCGTAGCCAAAGATCACCTCGCCGTTGTTCGTCCCGCCCGAGTTAGGCTCGATGGCCAAATTGGCCAACCCGCTGGTGGTGTTCATGCTGATGAACTGGTTCAGGGCGTTCAGCTGCGCGCCGCCGTTGGCCAGCGCCACGAGCTCGCATTTCCCGCCGGCCGGGGCGTTGTTCTGTGTGCCCAGGAAGAGCCGCGCCACGCCCGTCGGTGCCTGGTTGATGACGGCCAGCTCGCAGAAGCCGCCGGCGTCCCCGAGCCCCGTGACGGCGGCGAATTTCGTGTTCAGCTCCAGTCCCGTGGTGCCGCCGGAGAGGTACAGGTAGGGCAGGCTGGGCTCCGGCGCGATGGCGCCGTTGACGAGGAGGGTGTCATTGACCAAGACCCCTTGCACGCCGCCCTCGATGGAGAGCCACGGCGCCGTCGGGTCGCAGCGCACCATTCGACCCGCAGGTTGCTCACGACCTCCAGGTTGGCCGTGACGCTGCTGCTCGAGTTGAAGGTGCCCGTGGCGGCGACGCTGCCCACGAGCAATTGTGCGAAGTCAGCCGTGGCGGCGTTCAGGGTGCTGGCCGCAGCCACGGTCACATCCCGGTCCATGCTGATGCCTCCGTCGGCGAAGCTGGCCAGCAGCGCCCCGTCCTCCCTGCGTAGGGTAACCAGGGCGTTCTGGATCTGCAGGTCCCCCGCCGAGCTCCGGAGCTCGGGCGCGTCCACGAAGCTCGTGGCCGTCAGGCTGTTGACGCTGAGGTCCGCCGTGGGGGCGACGCCTCCGCTGTTCTCCAGGGTGGTGACGCGGTTGTCGATGGAGGTGACCGTGGAGCCCAGGCTGTTGAAGGTGGCGACCAGAGGATACCGCCCGTCCGACTGCCCCTTGGACCAGCAGTCGCAGGAGATTTGGAGGGTCGACCCATTCCCCAGGATGGGTTGCGCTGAAAGCGGCGTTTGGCAGAGCAAATTGCGGATGATGTTCGGAGTGAACTGGGTCTGCGCCAGGTTGAAGATGCCTCCTCCCTCGGCGCCGGGAGTGGTCACGAAGTAGCGCGCATCGAGCGGGCCCAGGTCGTTCGTGCGCAGGAAGCGGCCGTCCGCTTCGGCCTTGGACCAGCTGTCGCTCCGGATGCGCAGGGTGGACTGGTTGCCCAGAATCGCGTCGCCCACCAGCGGCGCCTCCAGCAGCAGGTTGCGCACGATGCGGGGCGTGAACTGCTCCTGCACCAAGTTGAAGATTTGCCCCGACTCCGCGCCGGGAGCTCTCACGAAGTAGCGGGCGTCCCCCGCCGTTTGGTCCAGGAAGCCGGCGCCGGCGATGGCGTCGTCGATCTCCGTTTGGGTGCGCCCTGACGTCCAGTATTGGGTCAGCGTGGCCGTGAGCAGGGAGTCCAGCTCCGTGCGGGGATAATAGGCCAGCAGCTCGTTGGCCACGTATGCCTGTGTCCCGGCTTGGTCGTAGTAGCCCGACAGGTCGATGCCCGCCAGGGCATCCGCGATCTCCTGATCCGTCTCTGATCTAGTGTAGAAGTCAAGCAGGGCCGTGATGATCTTGTTGTCGACCTGGCTGCTGTTGTCGTAGCTCGACAGGGCCGAGGAGATGGCCGAGCTCACCTGGGCGCTGGTCTGGTAGTTCGTGAGCTCGCCGGCCACGAAGCTCGAAACCTCGCTTTGGTCCCAGTAGGGCACCAGCTCCCCGGCGATCAGCGCCAGCACCTGGGCCTCCGTCCGGTACTGGGACAAATTGAGCGCGTCGACGGCGGCCGTGATGGCCGCTCCGGTTTCCACCTGCGTGTAGGTCTCGCTCCGGGCATTCGAGTCCGACTCGATGAGGATCGTGTCATCCAGGTTCTGGAAGCTGGCGGTCAGGGCCCCCGCCACGGACAGGTTGCGCAGCACATTCGTGCCCCGGAGCAAATTGAAGGTGGGCCCGCCGTTCCAGCTCTGCCCGTTGCTCAGGGTCACGGGCACGAGCGCGGCCGTGATGGCCGCTTGCACTTGAGCTATCGTCCAGTAGGGGCTGAGATCGATGGTGGCGAGCGCCGCCGCGATTGCTGCGTTCATCGCGGCGGTGTCCGAGAAAGGCGCCAGCGCTGCCGCTATCGCGGCGTCCCGCTGCACCACGGTCCCGTAGGGCACCAGCGCATCTGCGATGGCCTGGGTCATCTGCAGCGTGGTGCTGTAGTCGGCCAGCTGGGTGTCGGTGTAAGTGTTGGCCGACGCATTCCCTGGTGAAGTAGTCGGCCAGAGCCGCCGTGATGGCGGAGTTGGTCTCTGCGGTCGTGTAGTAACCGCCGAGCTGGGCGAGCACCCAGGACTCGCTGGCCTTGGGCGCCAGCAGAGCGTCCGTCTCCCCGCGACTGTAACTGTCGCAAGCGAGGGACAGGGTCCAGCTGTCGTTGGCCAGCTGGATGCTGAGCGGCGCCACGGCGTGCAAGTTTCTAATTTGGTTCGTTCCGGCCAGGAGGTCCCAGGTCACATTCCCGGGCCAGGCAGGAGCGTTCACGAGATTGGTGGCACCGCCGAGCGTGGCGATCTCGGCCAGGAGCCCGTCGATGGCGGATTGCAGCGAGACCTTCAGGGAGGTGAGGTCCGAGGTGGTGGCGAAGGGCCCGGCGTTTTGCAGCGCAAGGATCGCCGCGTCGGCGGCGTCCAGCCGGGAGTCCTGCAGGGCCTGCCCGGCGTCGTAGGCGCCCTGGGGGACGTACCCAAGCAGCGCCGTGGCCAGGTCGCTGGCGGTCTGATAACCGGCGCCCTGCAGAGCTGCAAGCAGCGCCTCGGCCGCATCGAGCCGGCCGTAACGAGCGCCGCATCCAGGGCCGTCTGCTGGACGAAGGGGAGCAGGGCGGTAACGATGAGCTGACTGACGTCGGCGGGCGTGGTTCTGAGAGCTAATCCAGCCGCGAGGTCGCTGGTGCTGGCCATGGGGAGTAGGGCCGTGGCGATGGCTTGGTTGACGTCCCCGGCTGTCTGTCGGGCGGCGACGTCGAGGGCCAGCTGGTCCACGACACTTTTGAGCGCATAGGTTGCGGCCACGGTGGCCAGGGTTGCGTGTTGGCGCTGGTCACGGCGCTGTTCATTGCTGCCGTGGTCGGATGGTTCGCCAGCTTGAGGTCCACGCTGGCCGGCGTGCTCTTAGAATCGACCTGGACCTCGAGAGCATCCAGGGCCGACTGGTTTGCCTTGGTGGCCAGGCCCTGGGTCAGGCTGGTGTTCACGGCCACCAAACCGGAAGCGTTGGCGAGGATGGAGCCCTCTGCGGCAGCGAGGTCAGCGGCTAGAGCATAAGGGGCCAGATCGGGAGCAGCAGGCAGGGCATCCACCTGGCCCTGCAGAGCTGCGATGGCGGCGGCGTTGGTGCCGATGTCGGCGGTGTTCTGGGTGGTGGTTTCCAGGGGGGTGTACTGGGTGAGGACGAGCGACAGTTGCCCGGCGGAGATGCCCTGCAATTCTATCACTGGCGGGGGCGTTTCGCCGTCGTCCAGGACCCTCCCCGTGAGTGTGCTTGGAAAGAGTGACATGATTTACTGTACGACCCGCGACACGGTGCGGGCCACCACGTCCCAGTCTTCCGCCACGGCGGGCAGCTCGCTGTCCTCGGCCGCCCGGTCGTAGAAGAGGAAGAGCCGCTGGAACTGCCGCTCCGGCTCCTCCTGCATGAGGCAGTGCAGTAGCTGCAGGAGCTTCGGGTGGCGCTGGGTTTTCGGAGTGCGGACCGTCCGACCCGCCACCTTGAAGGCGTCGGGGTTGTAGCGAACGATCGTAAGCTTGTGCTGGCTGCCCAGGGCGATACTCGCGGCGATGTCGAAGTCACGACGCACGTCGCAGCTGCTCGGATGGGCTGCGTGTTGACGTTCATCAACCTCGAGAAGCACTTTGCCCCAGGTGGCATTCAGGACAAAGTCCACAAAAGCGCCGTGTCCAGTGGAATCCTGTCCACATGCTCGAAATGGCACATGAACTTGATACTCGAAGCCGATTCCTGTTGAAGTCAGCAAGTGCCAAATCTCGAGCTCTTTGGTCTTCGTGACAGCTTTGGGATTGTCAGCATGAAAGCTGCGCATATGGCTGAGCAGCGCTTGGATGCGACAGAATTTGTGACCTTGCTGTGGGCAACCTGCAATGTCGCACACGAAATTATTGCACTCACCGCATATGTCTTTACGGCGACCGTGATTGCACAACGCGCTGCCTCCGCATACGGAGCATCTTGTTCTCAACTTTTGGTGGATGCAGAAGGCTGCTCCCGAGCATTCTCGGCAAAGTCGGCGCCGGCGACCGTGCTCGCAAAAAAGATGAGGTGAGCATTGTTTGCACTGGCTCCGCATTGTGTCGTGCTCGCAACGCTGAGAGCCGCCGCACTGGGCACATGTATCTCGTTGGCGATTATGACTGCACACTTGCCTTCCTCCACACTCTCCACAGCGCGCATGTCGCCGACCGTGTGGGCACAGACCAGCACCACCGCACAATCGACAGTGGTACTGCCTCTGCCCGTGTGGGCACTTCTTGAGCTTGCGTGTCGCCATGGTGGCTGTTTTGGTAGACTAAGGCGCAGCCCCGCCCGGTGCCGCGAGCCCGCCTCAAGGCCCAGCGGCCGTTTGAACGCACTTAATCCAGGACGGACACACCCGAGCCGGAAAGGGTCACGATCTGCATCGAGACCAGGCCGATGAAGCATTGATCGACGCGGTCCGCGAGCATCGACTTGAATGTGAACCGGCACAGGTCGCCGCTCCTTGTCGACAAACCGCTGGTGGGGTGGCGGGGTACGCGCTCCGTGGGGAAAGCGGCGATGAAATTCGTGTTGTCGTAGTTCGGGAGGCGCATATTTCGAACCTTGCTATCGTAGGTTCCGGCCATGATAGCCAAAAAGTGGTGGTATTCGGCGATGCTTTTGACCGAATTGCGAGGAAATTGTAGGGCTCCCAGCTGCAGCTGGCCCTCCATGACCGTGGCCGCCGAGACGTTGGGGAAGGCCTCCCCGGGGTACTCGAAGTTGGAAATGTGGTTCTCGCCCGTCTTGTTGAAGTGCACAAAGGCTCCCAGCATCTTGGTAAACGCTCTCGCGACGGTGATATTGTAGCTCGTCGAGCCCGCCGGCACGGAGCTCTGTTGCACGTGGAGGCTCGGGAAGCTGAAAATCAGCGATCTGTTGGACAACAATATGCGCTCGAAGCTCTCCCGGAGGGCACTATCAAGGGTCACCTGGTCGGCCAAAAGGTGCACGTTCTCGATCTGATACGACAGGCTGGAGCCCACGCCGGCGCGCATGGCCATCTCGGGCTCGGCGAACTCGATCTCCAGGACGAGATTTAGCTGCGGCGGGAGCATCTTGCCGCAGTTGAACATGCCGATCAGATGGGGGTGCATGAGCACGTCCCGCTTTTGCCCCGGCTGCACCGGCTGCGCCCAGCCGCCGGCGTCCACCGGGAGGCCCTCCCAGTGCAGCTCCGTCCACCAGTCGCTCGGTTTCAGTAGCGAATACATGAAGCAACTGCGCCCGTAGTAGCTGATGTCTTCCACGCGTTGTCAGAGCGATCATGGGTAATCAGGTACATGTTGGTGGAGATAGTAACCAGAGTGTCTTGCAACAAGTGCGTATGGAGTTCCCCGGTGAGATGCTACTTCTACAAACCACCACGCTGATCACGCGGATCACTGATGCTGTTGACCCGATGCTCCCAGGGACTGTGTTGGATCGACTTCGACGAGTTGCGGAGGACCTTGGCGGTCATTGTCAGCGATATCATGAGGAATGTCATCGGGCGGCTGAGTATCTTCGAGCTACCCAAACGGAAAATATTGTTCGTCCACAGGATGGTGCACCACCGGATGCTCTGGTCTCTGGTCGATGTGGACTGAAGGCAGCCACTCTTGTCTGTGATCGATGTTTCCTGTGCTTACCTGACCTGAAGGCACTCAAAGCTCACATGAAGCAGCAGCATGACCACCGCATCCCTCACATGACAGGTTCCTTTCTTCGAAATCGACATGGAAAGGATGGAATGCCAACCTGTTTGCATTGTGACCGTCGTTTTCCATGTTGGAGTCACCTTGAAAGGCACATCCGTGAACACAATTGTGAGCCTTATTGGTTGAAGAGGCAGGAGGCTGGCTTGTCGCCGGAACAACCTGATGACTCGGCTCAGTCGTTGGAGCCTGACCAGGCGAACACTGATGAGGCAACTTTGCCTTTAGTCCAAAGGACCCAAGTGAGAACTGCATGCAAGAGTGACGGCTGGCGATCGCTACTTGAAGTAGAGAGTTTGCGTGCTGAGATGGTAAATCACTGCGTCCTCTGCCACCAGTGGGTTGATCAAAAGCAAATCAAAATACATGTGCGTCGTGTTCATTCTGACGAGTGGAATCGGCTGCAGGCGACTGTGACTCAGGAGTGTAAGCAGCTGGCTCGAGTAGCGGTATCACCTTGTCGCTGGTGCGGAGCAGTGGTCAAGCGGTTCTCCGAGCACCCACCTTTGTGTTCGGTTGTCTGGCAGGCTTGTTTGCTTGGAAACTTGATTGCCGATGACTCAGATGGATGTCGAGGCCCAGATGTCCCTGATGTGGGGGCACGTGCTTCCCTCAGTAGTCATCTCCCAGCAGGCATTGCCGGAGACAGAGAAGGAGAAGCAAACACCGGGCGAAAATGCAAAGCGCAAGCCACAGAGCCAGGGCGTGAGGCCGTCGGGCAAGGGCGGCGGAAAAGCTCGAAGTCGACAGCGAGGCAGCGGTTGGGACAACACGCGGAGCGCACCGACGCACAATCAGCAGAACAACCAGCAGGAGCTCCTGGAGATGGCGATCAAGCTGATGCTCAGGCACGAGGCATTCCTCAGCCGACTACAGATGGACATGGTATACATCTTCACCTTCAAGAATCAGCCCGGTGCCCCCGACGCCCTTCTTCCCACTCTCTATCAGGTCTCGCTGGAATGGCGCAACAAGTACCAGGACAACCCCTCAGCTCTGAACCGATCTCTGAGAGTGACCATCTTGCTTTGCCTTCTGACCGAGCTAATGAAAAGGGTTCGGCGGCTCACGGACGATGCAGCGGGGGAGGCATTGCAGGTGATGAAGAATGCAGGCTGGTTGACATCCGAGACACAGTGCGTGTATCAAGTCTGGAGCCACTCGGAGAGCAAACTACAGACGGACGAAACCCGGGGCACCATGTCCATGATGGCGGCGATCGAGTTGCTACAGAGCATGCTGAACCTGCTCGACCAACCAGAGATCTTGTTAAAGTTTGCGGCGACGCGACCGCTTGCACAGGAGATGAGCGGACATCAAATCTCCTTCATTTGCGAGGTGTCGCTGAGGCACCAAGCTGCGGACAAGCTTTACACGCAAATGGGCAAGCTGATGGGTCATGCTATGCTGCACCTGGTTGGCTTACGGATCAAACCCTCGCGGGGGCGGATTTCCGAACTTGCCACTCAAATACAAGAAAGGCTCTACAGTCGGTGCTGCGCCTAACTTTCATGAATCATGGCAATGCGTGTTACATGAATTCTTTTTGCGCTGCGACTCTATGGACGGTCATTCTTGAGTCAGGTGAGCGGGATTTTCACATGGGCAGGCTCAATATTGCTTTTCATGCATTGCTACAACAACAGATGAATCGCATCTCAGTGCCAGGGCTAGTGCCATGGCGACTGGCATTGATGACTTGGCCTCAGCCTCAACGTCAACATGACGTGGTGGAGTTTGCTTCATTCATCCTGGAACAGGCGAGCGCAGTTTCCTTTGATGGGGCATGGGAGGCGCGTGTCATGGACCATGTATGTTGGTCGGCAGATGGCGGCAGCCTTGAAAACCCGATCTCGCTGGAACTTGTAGCCTCAGGCTCACTACAACATGCTATTTCTGGTTGGCACCAACAGGTGTACCCAATCAACCGACAGGCATACCCGCATGCATTGAGTAGCCCTCCTCGCATTTTATGCTTGCGACTCAACAGGTTTTGTGAACGAGATGGGGGAGTGCGGAAAGATCAGAGTGCGATCATGCTGAGGCCACGTCTATGTGTGACGATGCCACTTTTTGCTGATTCACATGCTGTTCGAGTGGTTCCCATTCGTTACATGCTCACGGCGGGCATCTACCACTTGGGTGAGAGCCCTGATGCAGGCCATTATCGTGCATTTGTGAGTGGCTATTCTGAGCGCAACAAGAAGAAGTTTCACGTATTTGATGATAATGTTCAGGCTGTCATTGCTACTGACAGTGATGTGCAAACGTTAAGTCGTAATTGTTACTTATTGTTTTTCGTTAGGCTTACTTCTCAGTCCTGATGTCACCTGCAAGGTGTGCGCACCGGGGTTCTAGTCTCTGACTTGCTAGCAGTTCGCTGCGAAGTTAGTGTGCGTTCTACGCAGCTGCCTAAGAACAGCCGGGCTCAAAGAGCTTGCACTGTGCCGCGCAAGGGACGGCCTCGAAGTTGTTCCGCGTTCGCAAAGCAAAAAGCTGGATCCGCTCAATGAAGCACGAGGGGTCCGGCGAGCCGCAGAGCATGTCGCTGGAGCCGTCCGTGTTGCGGAAGGTGAAGGCCAGCTTAATGGATTCAGGGTCCACGAAGTCTTGACCGGGGGTGATTGGTATTCTGCACACACGGCTGGTCGTCGGCGTGAACGTTGACAGGGAGCTCGGAAAGAACTGCACCGATTTGCGACTTTGAATGTAGTTGGTGTTGCCCGTGGCCAGCTTGTAGTCGAGCGAGGCCACGAGCTCGTCGTTGACGGCTTGTGTAACCTGCTCCATCTCTCTTTACATACTTATGCAGCTTCCGGTTCGCTCGCCTGACGAAGGGCGTCGAAGGACGGCTGCGTTCCCAAAGGTCCCCGGTCGCCGCGGGACTGCCGGCTGATGCGGGAGCGGTCGCTGCCGGAGGACACCGGGATCGGGATGTTGTTGAGGCCAAAAGGGGTTTGGGCCTGGGCCCTCGGCCGCCGCGCCGGGCGGGCCACGATGCGTTGCTGTGCTTGGGGCCGCGGCTCGCTCTCTGAGTCCGTGTCGATCCTGAAGACCTGGGGCTGGGTGCGCTGGGCCCGGCGCTGCTCCTGGATGAAGTAGTGATCAACTGCGCCCGACTCTTGCATGCCGTTCAGTGTCGCCAGGTCCGTGGTTTGGCTCGGCCGCGAGGCGTCTGAGTCCGTGCCGCCTCCCGTCGCCGCGCCCCAGCCCGTGAGGGTGGAGGCCGCGTTCAAGCCTCCCTCGATGGCCCATGCGGTTCCGACCAAGGCTGCACCTGCAGCAGCCACCGCCAACCCTCCCGTCGCCGCGCCCACGGCACCAGCAGTCGCCAGGGCTCCTTCGCCCAGGAGCGCAAGAGCTCCTCCGCCCGCTTCTGCTGCGGTTGCTGCTTCGGCAGCGCCCGCCGCGGCTTCGGCTGCAGTCGCAAAGCCTTCTGAGGCCTCCGCCTCTGCCAGCTGCTGCGTCGCAAAAGCCTCGATGTCTTGCGCTGCCGCACGCTCCGCCTCCGCGGCTCTCTGGCCGGCCCGCTCCAGCAAGGGCTCCACCTCGCTGGGCCTCCCAATAATATTAGGCGGAGGGACCTCGTCCGGGGGCGGCGCCAGTCCTGGCGGCCTCCTGGGGATGCGCAGGGTTCTGTCGAGCCAGTCGCCGCCGCCCCGCAGGATGTTGAAGGTCTGGTTCTCGGCCACGCTTCGGGTCGCCGCCGCGGCGCCCGCAGCGCCCCCGGCGATGATCGCCTCCGCGGCTTGGATGCCCGACTCCCTCATGCGGCCTCCGAGCGTCGGGGGCCTCGGTGGATTGAGCCCGTCGTTCCTCAGGGCTTGCCCTGGATCCATGCCTCCGTCGTCGCTGTCCGGTAGGAAGGAGGGCCTGGTGAACTCTCTGGGCGGGCGGGGAAACGGAGTACCGCTGTAACCTTCGTCCGCTGTCTCGAAGGCGGCCGCCGGATTGATTGTGGTGTGCGGCATCGGTGCGTCGGAGATGGGCTCCGGAGCATTGGGGTAATCATCCAGGTAGAAGTGACTGGATGTGTAGATGCTGGCCTTGCGGTTGGGCAAGGGAATGTCGAGGGGCTCGCCCTCAGCTATGTAGCCTAGCCCAAATGAGGGTTTGACGCGGAAACCATTCTGTCTACGCTCCTCCATTTACATGGATCTTGAGTCCTCGCTTGCCCAAGTACGAGCGCTCGCTGGCCCGCTGGACGACCTCGCACAGGTAGCTGAGCACCGTTTTGGTTTCGGGGTCGAAGCGCACAAGGACCCTTTGGGGCCGCGCCCACCGCCGGGCCAGCAGCCGCAGGATCTCCTGGCCCTCCTCGTCGGCCAGCTCGTGGTGGTAGGCCAGCGGGATCTCCGCCTCCGGGTTTTCCAGGAGCCACAGGCCATCGCGCTTCGTGAGCTGCAGGTCCAGCTTCATCTCACATACCAGCCCGGGCTATCTGATGGTTAATTCACTGAGTGCTGCTTCTTTGCTATCTGTCGCTTGTTTAAGGGTAGCTGGATTTTGCCATGAGCGACATGAACTGCTCAAAAATGTTTGCTTGCGGATTCGCAAGCTGCCGGTGGCTTGGCATGTCGGGATCAAGATTATGGTTCGAGATGTGACCGGAGATGTTGAAAGGATGCCGATTTCGGTGTCGCGATGGGAATTATATAAGACAGACAGCAACTGAATTTTTTTCGTTTGTGCAACGGAAAGTTTAGTGGCATTTCGAGTGTGTAACATACATATAAACATGTCGTCGCCGACAGAAATGAAATTTGAATTTCGGTGCCTAAAAATGATTACGAGTATATGTTGCCGGCGGGGACATGTGATATACTTTTACATATCCTATATATATATATATATAGTAAAGTGTGTGTCTCTTGCATCTCTCTCCTGTGTGTGTGTGTGTGTGCATGTGGGTCAATGTGCATGCATGTGGGCCAGGGGGCTGCGACTGAACATCGCCCGGCAATCGCACGCCTTTATATTCAGGGCCCTGGACTTCGCACATGCTGCCTTCGGATCAGGAGCTCCCTGGGGACTCCTAATGTGTTGAAGTGATCGATGCTAATGCATGCAAGAGCAGAAGAACATAGAAGCACTGCAGCATAGATAGGAACCATGGATCCGAGCGCAGCCATGAGCAAACGTGAGCAGAAGACGGCAGAGATAGCCCAGTCGCTGTACAACCGTCTGGACCTCCAGTTTGTTGCGTCGACAGGGAGCCTGTTTCCTACTACGTCGCTACGGCACCGAGCAACTCGAGAGATGCTTTCGTTTATGCGAGTGTTCAAGTACGAGGGTGTGGAACGACTATTGACAGAAGCTATGTCCCGAAGAGTATTGCAGATGCTGCTGGATGACTATGCCTTGCAGTTACCGGAAACTCCAGGAATGTCCAGATCCAAATGGGTCCAGCAATCGGGCAAATGTCTACACATGATGCTTAAGAAAGCTAGAAGAGGCTCCTCTGGTGACGACGCCATGGACGACGATGAGACGCAGATCATGATCCAGGATCCCGACCTGCTGGACCCCTCGGAGGACCGTGGTCCTCATGCGGCCTTGCAACTTTATGGGTGTATGCCTTTGTTCATGCCTGGAGGACTCGCAGTGCTTGAAGCGGAAGGCCTCGAGTTCTGTTAGTGCAGCTTGGATTCAAGTGGACTTCCTTTTGAGATTGTGTCTCAACATGTACATGTGCATCTCAGCTTGGTGGCATCGTGCCGAGCAAGCGACTTCGGGGCAAGACGCCTCCAGTGCCTGTGGCGGCTCTATCATTCTGTGTTCGCTGTCCAACCCGCACGCATGCATGCAGCCAGTATTATATTATGCTGGAATCATATAGTTTCAATACATGCAAGGAAGACTCTCGATCGTCTGATGATGCGGGCGATTGCCAAGAGGACGGCTCGAATTTTGTAGAGATATGTATATGGTATAATTCCCAAACCTAGTTTCAACACCTTGAATTAACACGGACAGGACGATCAGCTGACCGAGCCGAATGATCTCGAGGCGGAGGCTTCAGCTCGGGTGTTTGTGTCTCTGGTGTCTGTTTATGTGTCCCAGGTCCGTGTACCGGAGGGTCGCTGGTGGTGCAACCAGGACAGTCGCCACGCATACGTGTACACTTGCTGTCTGCGATTATTGCATGCAGGACGGGCAATGGTTTTGCACGCCATGGAATGCCGAGGAAGCCGAGGCCTATCATCGATCCGCAGTTTTGGTGTTCTGAGTGTGGTTGTGAATTTCCAGGAAGTTTCATCGGAGACCCCCGCTGCTGATGACTTCTCATGGCCAACGGAATACTACGAACATGGGGTGCCTGACTTGCAAGAACTCCAGGCCCGCTAGCTTTAAAATTAATCCATTGCCACCATGGACATAAACTTAGTGTCGATGCAGGACGACCAGTTCCACGGCGACGGGGCGAAGACTGGAGAGGCCGATCTGTGCCACGCTGGCTCAGGAGTCGCATGGGTGGGTCGGTCATGTGGGATTTATATCAGGATGAACAGGATGATGAGGAGTACCAGGCCAGTTTGACGGCAGCCTTTGAACTCTCGTACGCAGTCTTGATTGACTTCGCAGGCACCCGAGACTTCGGAAGATGGTGCCAGGGACAAGGTCGGTTTTTTTTCGCAAGTGTCCTCATGCATTCATGTATAGATACATGCGAGGCTTGGAAGCCATCGGATGAATGGGAGAATCACGGCTCTGAAGGACATCGTGAGGTGTGGTTTGGGGTTTCCATTTGCAGCTGTCCTTTGCAGATTCATGGATTGTAGGCTCGGAATCCCTGCACTTGGTGCGGTGAACAGGATGAAGCCCAGGCAGGAATTGGGATGTAAAACTGTTAACTTTAAGTTCGTAGACTGCTGTGCAGGCCCGGGATGATTCCGGTGGAGATGATGTCGAGGTACATATGGGTTCGTGTCGACTAATGGTGTTGTTGTGCATTAATTCTTGTGCAGGCCACAGAAGCCCCATCGGATGAGTGGGCTCGCGATGCTGGAGAAGCTGTCGAGGCATGGGTTGGTTTCGGCAAATAATTGTTGTCCGGCTCGTGGATACAGGCCACGAAAAAGCCGTCGGATGAGTGGGATCTCGATAGTAAAGATGTCGAGGCATGGGTTGGTGTCGGCAGTTTGGTGCTTCGTGTCTGGCTCGTATATATACACGGATTAAATACTTCTGCAGGTCATGAATGAGCCATTGGAAGACTGGGAGGATGGCCCCGGAGAAGATGTCGAGGCATGGGTTCGTGCTAATTGTCAGGCTCCTAGAGTATAATTCTTGGTTAGGCCACGAATGGGCGATCGGACGAGTG